GCTGACAAATATTAGACATGCAGTGTGTCAAAGCTTATGCTGTTAGTGCGCCAAATCAGCTTTTAAATGCATCAGTTATAAAGACATTTACAACACTTGCTGATTGAGCATTTTATGCTTTAACTATGCAGTGTGGTCTAAAGTACGTTTTCAAAAGATTATTCCAAACCGATTTCTTAAGTTAGAGAAGTGCTTGACTCAAGAAATCTTTTGCATGTCAAAAACTGGATAAAAATCGAGTATTTGACATGCGGTTAGCTGTTGCCACTTGGGTAATAAAAAAAACGCATTCTAAAACTAATAGCAAGAAAATTTCAAAACTGAATTTGAAAAAAATATCTTCATATTTTTTTTCAAAAATGTCACTAGACATACCAGTACTTTAGTTACACTAGACATACCAGTACTTTAGTTACACTAGACATACCAGTACTTTAGTTACACTAGACATACCAGTACCTTAGTTACACTAGACATACCGGTACTTTAGTTACACTAGACATACCAGTACTTTTTTTACACTAGACATACCAGTACTTTAGTTACACTAGACAATGTCTAGTGTAACTAAAGTACCGGTATGTCTAGTGTAACTAAAGTACTGGTATGCCTAGTGTAACTAAAGTACTGGTATGCCTAGTGTAACTAAGTTAGTTACACTAGACAATGTCTAGTGTAACTAACTTAGTCTAAGAAAGTTAGTTACACTAGACAATGTCTAGTGTAACTAAAGTACCGGTATGTCTAGTGTAACTAAAGTACTGGTATGCCTAGTGTAACTAAAGTACTGGTATGCCTAGTGTAACTAAAGTACTGGTATGCCTAGTGTAACTAAAGTACTGGCATGTCTAGTGTAACTAAAATACTGGTAAGCTAGTGTAACTAAAGTACTGGTATGTCTAGTGTAACTAAAGTACTTGTATGTCTAGTAGACATACCAGTACTTTAGTTACACTAGGCATACCAGTACTTTAGTTACACTAGACATACCAGTACTTTAGTTGGCAAGTATCTATAAAATATTGCAGAAAAAATCTTGTAGTATCTATGAAATATTGCAGAAACTAAATCTTTAGTTGGCAAGTATCTATAAAATATTGCAGAAAAAATAGTGAAAAAAAATCTTAAAAAGATCAAATCATTTTAGAAAATTCCATAAATTTTTCATGACTTTAAACAAAAATTAAGGCACTCCATGACTTTTTCCATGAACAAATAAAATTCCATGACATTTCCATGACCAGTGGTCATCCTGAAATAAAGTAATATTTAATTATTGCATAGATTATTGCAAAAAATAAAAAAAGAGAGAGAGAGTTAAGATCCATTTGGATAAGTGCAAAAAAACAAAAAAGGAAGCGCTAATAATTTTACTGAATTTAGTATAATTGAAGCATTTTTGGAATATATCTGAGTATTAAGGGGTATATCAGTTTTAGAGTCAAAGACATATACATCTGTAGCACCATATAAATTTAATCAGTCAGAAAATAAGGAGCAAGATTGTTTAAGCTTTATTTGTTCAGTCAACTGCAATGACAACGCAACAGCAAACATCCATTTCTAAATTTTGCTACTACAACAACAAGTAAATAAAAAGATAAATGGATTTACAAGTTGCAATGTTTTTTCAGAAAATATACCATTTAACATAGTTGAAAATCTTGAATTTACCGAGCTGCTTGAAAAACTTATACTTGAATATGAGCCATCAAATAGAAAACGGATATCTTCAGAACACAAAGTAAATGTAAATGAAAAAGTGATAAATATAACGAAAAAAGATCTAGCTGATGAATGCGCTGTTTAAAATGTTTGGAGAAACCCTAATTTAAGATGCTTGGAGTACAGTATGATCCTATAATTGCTCATAGTATCCAAATGAAGTAAACTCTCACTTTTGCAGTTGTTACTGGAAGCCAGTCAACAACAGTAGAATATTGCACTCAGGCTGCAAAGGATGCAATCAAAATTGCAAAAGAAACATTTAATAAAGATGTAAGACAGCTGTTTTAGGTATTTATATATACACTGACAATGAAAATGAAATAATGATAAAATCATTGTAGGCTGATAACATATGGTTGCTTGGCTTAATTTCTAAATATGGTTAAAAATGTCTCATCTAAATCTATAAAAAGCATATTATAGCAGTTCATAAATATTTTCATCATCATCACCACATGTATGTACTAAATTCTATATTGTTATTAACTTATTGATCATATTATTTGATAAGATGCCATGAAATAAAACAGCTGAGTTAATGATACAGCCCTATATAATAATTATGACAAAAGCAATCCTAGCTCTTTTTCAAAAAACTTATTTTTTATTTATTTATTAAGTTTTCAATTTGTTAATACAGAGAAAAGCAAAATTCAAATGTTCATCTGAAAATTGTAGGTGTTGTATTAGGTAAGGTTAATGACATATCTAACTGGATGTTTTAAATATAATTATAATAAATATATTAAAACTACTTATATCTGCCATCATGCCATTATAAATAATTTACATAATTATAAACTAAATAGTTGTGTTTTCTATAGTTGCAGGCAGATACTACATCTTTGTCTAAAGCAGTTTTGATTTGATGAAGCCTTCTTTATGATGAAAAGGTTCTGTTCATAAGTTTAAAATACATGTGATCAAATTTAAATAAAACAGATATAAAATTTTTGTTTAACTTTAATATGATTATAACTTTAATTAAGAAGAACATTGGATAGAAGTTAAGAAGAAGCTGATAAATGATTGAATGAAGCCAAATTTATGCCCAGCTACAACCCATATAAGCTAATTATTTCCCAACATAATTGTTTAATAATAATGTAAATAGCACAACATCATCAGAGAATTATAGAAATGAAGAAATTTAAGTCTCTCTAATTGTCTGCAAATTTTGCAAAATTTATACATCAGTTGCATTTTTATCTAACTAGTACAGAGAAAAAGTTGTCACAGACATTACGATCAAGTTGCACAATTGATGAAAATTGTTAGATGAATTAAATTTTTAAGTTTGAATATTACTGCTCCAAAAAAATATATATATATAAAAAAAGCTCTCATTTATGACTCACTTAACTTATTTTATTATCATTGGAACAATTGTTAAGCAATATCAAATCTTGAGTGTTAATGGAAATTAATTTATAAATAAAAAAATTATAAATAAAAAAAGTTTGAGACCAAAAACCCAGCAAATTGGGTTTTAGAGTTTGAGTTTTTAGGTACCAATTTTGGTTAGCAGACTTTTTCTCAAAAGAACCTATAGAATTAGTACTTCTGATAAAAATAAATAAAACCCAAACAAAAGAATAATTTTATTTTTCTTTTGTTTGGGTTTTTAAAAGGTCTAAATATATAGTTTAAATATAAAAATAAACTCACTTTACACCAAAATGATTAGGTCATATTTCAAAATTCTGGAATATCTTCCTGAAAATATGATCAAAATATCCAGAAACATTTTTATTTTCATCTATTTACTTCTGTTAAATCTGACCTTATTATCTGGTTTATTTTGATGGATTCTAAAACGTTTAGAAAGCTAAAAAATGCACTTAAAACTTTGGCAATTTTTATATAATTAATATTTTATAATATATATTTAATATAAAGAGGACACATATTTTATATTTTCAATATAAAATAAAAATATAATTCAAAGTATAAAAATTATCAAAAATATTCCCCCTCCCTCCAGCTGATAACTGGTGCTGCAATCCTTAAATTTCTATTTTTACAACTTTTAAATTTTTATTTGTACATATACTGACAAATGGGTTTTAGCTGCGGTAAGTTCATCTATTATTACTTTTAGCTGCGGTAAGTTCATCTATTATTACTTTTAGCTGCGGTAAGTTCATCTATTATTACTTTTAGCTGCGGTAAGTTCATCTATTATTACTTTTAGCTGCGGTAAGTTCATCTATTATTACTTTTAGCTGCGGTAAGTTCATCTATTATTACTTTTAGCTGCGGTAAGTTCATCTATTATTACTTTAAAATGTCATAATTTTTGTTAAAAAAAGTTTAAAATTTCTTTGTACACTTAAATCAGTAATTTATGTTTTATCTGCCAAAATTCAATTTCATGTGACTGGTCAATAATATGTTTTATCTATCAAAATTCCATCTTAAGCGACTGGTCAATCTTTTACAGTAAATGCTTTTTTATGCTCAATTAAAAAAGTAAATTAAGTAAATTAGTAAAAAGTAATTAGTAAATGCTTTTTTATGCTCAATTAAATTAAAAACTTGCCTTTTTAACTATCATATTTTTTTCCAAGTTTGGAAAAAAATATGATAGTTAAAAAGGCAAGTTAATGGCCTATTTCAGATTGGTTATCCTTTTTAACTATCATATTTTTTTCCACTTGGAAAAAAATATGATAGTTAAAAAGGCAAGTTAACGGAAGACTCATAAAGCTGTAAATTATAGAATTAGTTAAAGACTTATAAAGCTGTAATTTATATGAATCAGAAAAACATGATTGTATGGAATCAGAAAGAACTGATTTTCATGAAAAAAAATAAAAGTTTAATTGAGCATAAAAAAGCATTTACTGTAAAAGATTGACCAGTATTGATTATTTCCTATGAAAGTGAGAAAAACGAAATTCAAACTTAACTTTTAGCTTAAATAGTGGTTGCTTGCAGTCATGTTGCTTATAATCATGTTGAAAGTAAACTTGTATAAAAAAAAATGGTTTATTTTATATTTTGTTGATATATACAAGATGTTCATTATATTTTAAAAATGAAGACGTTGACAAAATATATTTAACTAAATGTTTAAAAAAAAAATCTCTAACTTCCCGGTCTAGAATTTACCAAAAATGCCTTATGGGATTAAAGAAACAAGGACGAGGAACTGAGAAGGCCATTCCATTACATTTATATCATTATTTTTTAAAAATTTCTTTGTTGGATCGGCAGTGTGTTTTATCTTGTTGAAAAACCTGGTAAACTTTTATTCAGCATTTTTATTCAACTAATAAGTCCCTATTTAACAGAAATATTACCAAAATATTTCTTAAAATTTTTATAAATTATGCTGTATTTAATAGAATTTAAACCAAAATAAAAGTCCTATAATTTGTATAAAATATACTTACAAATCTAGTGGTTTGGTACATTGTTTGTAAGTTTTGTTTCATTGGATTTATTTCGTCAAGAAGAATTCTTAAACGAAACATAATGATAACCTAAAATTAAAAAAAAATATTTTATTTAAAAAAAAGAATGTGAAAATATTATAAATAAAATAAAATTTTGATAAACTAAAAATACACCTGTTGGTCCAATATCTTACTGTAAACATCACCACCAATTTTTTTAAATATTTTTATTATGCTCTAAATTAAAAATTCATTTTTATTTTTAATTTATTTATTTATATCTATTGTATTGATTTATACATTATTATATTTAAAAAACATCTAAAATTAAAACTTTCTTTCATATATAAAATTATTACTTAAAAAAAAACAAATTAATACTTATGAATATTATTTACTTATTATTACAGTGACCAACTGTCCTCCCTTTTTGCCTGTTGTCCTCCATCCTCCTCTTTAAGCCATATATTATTAAATTTCCTCCTTTTACAATATACTTTAACTATAAAACTTTTAGCTAGATAAACATCCCCGCTTTATTATGCAATTTTTTGTGAATTTGAGCAGCTTTTTATCTATTGAATTTTTGTCTGCTTAAAAATTCCGCGCTGGATTGTTGCCTTTTATTTGAATAAGTATAGTTTGAAGTTTCAAAATAAAGTGTTTTTGTGTAAAAAATCTTACTTTCGTTTTATCTTTTAACTTTTCGCTCATTAGTTTTTTTTAATAAAAAATTAATTTATTAAAATAAATTTGAATATAAAATTAATTATTCACTGAATAATATTAAAAACTATCTTTTATTTTAATTTTTTTTTTCAAGATTTAAATGACTAACAAAAGAAGTGTTTTTTTATGGATAAATTATAACAATTTTATAAGGAATTCAAACCAATAAAGAATCCAAAAAAAGCATTCTGTGTAGTCTGTATTGTCACCATTAACGATGGTAATAAAAGAAAAACATCCCTCGACCTTCACTTAAATACAGAAAATTACAAAAAAAGTTTCTGTTCAGTTGAAAATTGCTAGAGTCTCAACAATTTAATGATTTCTTATAGTACAGAAAAGGAGAGGAATATATCTGCAGCTTTACTGGTGTTGTCGTATCAAACCACTTCACACCATTTTAGTTTTTGATCATTAGACTGTCAACAAAACTAAAAGTAGTAATCTTTAAAGATCGAGAAATTTCAAGAAGTTTTGCATTAAGTACAAACCTCTGGTTTGTACTTAATGTGAGGAAATATTTAGGAAATATTAGGTCATCTGACAGTAGATATAACCAAAAAAGAATTGAAAAATATCAATTTCTTAGGCGTGCAAAGTGATAAAAGTAACCATAAAAATTTGAAATTTTTTTATATTATGATTCATCATTTTAATCCCACTTAAAATGAGCTGACCCAAAAATTAACAGATTTAAAATCAGTTGCTAATGAAAAAGCCTATTTCAGATTGGTTATCATTACATCTAGCAATCCATAGAGTTTTCAAATGTTTCCACTTTAATAAGTTATTTTCTGTCACTAGACAAGTCTCCAATAATTTAAAAAAAAATTTAAAAATCCTTTAAGTGAAGGCTATTTATTCTTGGTTCACTCACTACCATATGCATTTCAACAAAACATATTTAGGTTCAAAGCAAATTGCTTTAAAAATAAAATAGAGATTTTGGTAGAAGTATAGATCTACTAAAAATTCATATTAAAGCTAAGTTCTTGTCCATTGGTGTACACAATATCCTAAAGAACAAAGAACTTCAACCAAACAAAAAAAAATTTCAGAAATGATTCTTTTAGTAAGTACCAAAATGGTTTGGAGTATTTGAATTCATGGACTGGGCAGTTCCAACCATTTAAAACATTTTCCTGGATGTCCTTGTTTAAAAATGAACCAGTTTGGGAGCAAGTAAACAATACAATTGAGTATTTAAAAGATAAAAATGTTTGCATAGACATGGAAAAATGTCCAATATATGTTTGCAATACTGGGTCACAATGCAACCATTAAAAAAATACTAAGTTTAATTGAAGCTCAATGGACAGATGAAAGAAACAGATTGGCGAGGAGACAATTAAATATATAACTACCGTGAAATTTAATTTCAACTTCAGTGATTGTATTGAATTTTTTAAGTATTTTAAAAATGAGTTTGACCTCCTCTCAGTTCTTTTACCCTGATAAATTATAAATAATTATAAATATAACAAATAAAAACAGATCAAAAAATAAGAAAAATTAATTATTTAATTATAGAATACTATACACTAATGGAATAAGCAATATTATTATTTATAAAAATTAGTATTTAATTCTTACATTCAATATCAATCCAAGGTTGTATATTTTCATTTGCATAGTCTTAGTTTCTTCCAACAGGATTTGATTTAAAATGTCATGAAAAAACTATAATGTTAAATAATTGAAATGAATAACTGCACACAAAAATTTTACCAAAAAAAGTTTTAAAGATAAACATTTTGTGTTTTTTTCTGAATTTTTTAATAAGTTTGGAATTTGTATAATTGATCAATTTAGATCAAATAATCAAATTCTTGCGCAAAAAAAAAAAAAAAAAAAAAAACTTTTATCACCATAGTTTTTAGTAATTAAAGTTTTTCAGTAATATTTTTTGACATTAGCCTAGATACATTTTTTGAAAAATGTTTTTTGAGAACACATTTCTAAAGGTTTACCTTCTCAATACAATCAAATAACTTCACCACAAAACTTTGAAAACATGCTTGATACAAATTGTGTTTTAACATATTTAATTGATTAGATAAGAAAAGTAAACATGTTTTTCTATTGGTTAAACTTTCATCAAACAAACAACAAAAAATTTCTTCTACCTGTCAGCGAAAAAAAAATTTTTTAAACTAATAATAAGTTTTTAATGAAATTTAAAAAACAACAACAACATAAACAACAAAAATAACTAATAAAACTTCATTGAACTACAATCTGGCATTGAACTACAATCTGATTGGATAAGATTGTGCTGCAATCACTATTGCAGTTTCTACCTAATAATAAAACAAACTATTCTAAATAAACTTATACTGTTTCAATCTGAAAAGTTATATAACTCAAGTGTTTTAATTTGCTATCTATATTGCAAGTATTATTTAAAGACAAACTTTTATTTCAAATAAATAAAAGTTTAATATCTTTATCATTTATATAAGAATTCATTTGTGGCCTTCATTATCCTTAGATATGGCTCTCATATTATTTTCTAAATATAAAAAAATAATTTCAAACTTTTACAGCTTAGCCAACTACAGCAGAACAACTACAGTCAACTACAGCAGAACAACTACAGCCAACTACAGCAGAATAACTACAGCCAACTACACCAGAAAAACTACAGACAATTACACCAAAACAACTACAGCCAACTACAGCAGAACAACTAAAGCCAACTACACAGAACAACTACACCATAACAACTACAGACAACTACAGCAGAACAACTGCAGCCAACTACAGCAGAACAACTGCAGCCAACTACAGCTATCAATATTAACTGTAGTTGACAGCAATATAATATTTTTAGTTCAAAAAAAATGTTTAATTCACATTTTTTAATAATAATTTAAACTATAATTTGTTAATTATACATTTAAAATATGACCGCAGCTAAAAGTAGTAGACATGATACTTTAAAAAAAGTCTGCACTACAAAACATGCTGCAACTTAAGACAAAATTAAATGCCAATTTCATACTAATAAGATGAATTTGCTTAAAAAAAATAGTTTCATGCAATATTTGATAAAAAAGAAAGTAGTTAATTCTTACAGAGCTACCAAAACAAGTTCAGAATATTGATAGAATATTTAGATCTATCAAAAAAAATTGAACTATTATTGAGACAAAAAATAAATAAATTGAGAGAAAAACTAAATAAATTCTTCTGTTGAGACTTATCTCTTGTTAGACCTAATTGCTCTTTGTGAGACTAACTTGAGTTCAGCTGTCTTATCTTGTGATCTTAGTGTTGATGGTTATCTTCCTTTAATTTGTAAAGATTTCAATGGTCACATGCTTAGCCATTTATATTCATAAGAATTCACACATTTGTAGAAAAACTAGGATTGAATCCACAGACTATTCTTTTATGTGCTTTCATTTAGCACCATTTCACTCTATCAACTTTCTCTTTGTTTTATATTGCTCTCCATCATCTAAAGACTGAACTCTTTTTGATGATATTTCTGATCAAATTGATTTCTCTTTATCCTTCTGCCATTATCATTGTTGTTGGTGACTTTAATGCTGTCAAAAATCACACTAAATGGCTTAGCTCTAGTGTCAGTGACTATGCAGGCATTAAAGCCCACAACTTTTGCCTTTCTCAATCTCTAAGTAAAATAGTCAACTTTCCAACTTGCTTTCTAGATAATCCGAATCATTTCCCTTCTCTACTTGACTTATGTCTTGATTCTGATCCCGGTCAGCGCTCAGTTTCTCCACATTAACCCTTAGGTGCTTCTGATGACGGTTTGATCTCTTTAAAACTATTATCTCATTTTTCTTCATTATCAGAATCCCCCTATTATCTTATCTCTTCCAACTACCTTAAAGCTGACTAGAAACTCTTTCATCATGATGGCCCTTGGGTAAAAATTTTACACCTTCTTGCTGATAAATGAGCTTTTTACTTAACTTTTCCGATTCAGACTGGCATGGAATCTTTTATTTCCTCTTAACAATTTTAAGTGAAACTTTAATCTTCTCCATGGTTTTCCTCACATTGTGCAGCTGCAGTTTTTAATCGTAACCATTACTTTCATATCAGCAAAACAATTCTTCAGAAAACAGGCACCTGTTTACTATTGCTAGAAACAATTGTAATAAAGGTTTTGCCTAACGCCAAAGCCCTTTATTCTCAGGTCACAAAATCTTGTAAATCATCTATTATAAATTATAAAATTAGGTTCTTATGATTTCTGTTGAATCTTTAACAGTATCTATAATAAGAGCAAATCTGTTATTCCACCTCTCTTGTATGCTTCAGATTTTTTCACCTCACCTAAAGACAAAGCTGAATTGATTACTAAGAATTTCTCATCAATATTGATTTTAATTCCACCAGTCACATTCTACCTGATTTAGCCAACCAACAGGTTGATCCATTGATTGACATTCATATCAGTTCAGCTTCTGTATCCAAAGTGATTTCCTGCTTAAACTCTACAGCTTGTGGTCTAGAAAACGTATTTATTATAGTCTTGCAGAAGTGTTCTCCAGAGCTGTTGTCTATACTTTCAAAACTATTTAACAAGTTATTCTCAGAGTCTAGTTTTCATGCCTGCTGGAAAGTAGCATCTGCTATCCTTATTTTCATCAATATGGATTTTGGTCTTCTCGCTCTACTGCTGATTTGTAAATAGTAATAACTGATAGGTTTTATCATGCATTAGACAGATCACAGGAAAGGTTATTGCTCTTTTTATTTCTAAAACCATATTTATTGATAAACTTTGGCATGCTGGTCTTTTTCATAAGCTTTTTTCTTACGTTGTCTCAGGTAACATTTTTAAGACTATTGAATTCTTCCTAACCAATTACTCTAATGGACAGCACTCTTTTTCATATCCTGTTACTTCAGAGATTCCTCAAGGTTCTATCCTTGACCCTATACTCTTTATTTTTAATTTACATTAACAATCTCCCAGAAATTCTCAAATCTAAGGTGGCATTGTTCACTGATGATACTACTATTTATTCTTGTCTTGAAAGAAGCCAAGACTATCTGTTTGCTTGGAGGGGGCATTTGAGATTGAAAAGGATCTCACTTCTGCTATAGCATGGGGCTCTTAATGACTGGTGAACTTTAACTCAATTTAGATATAAATTGAGTTAAAGTTCATAGATAATGATTAGCTGAAAAAATTGAGATAAAACTCAATTTTTTCAGCTAATCATTATCACGACAATCTTTCTACATTTATAAACAATAATGTACTTGATGAGTCATCTCCTTTTCGTCTTCTAGGATTAATTCTTACTTCTGATCTTTCTTAGAAACCATATATCAAATCAATTCCAAAGTTAGTATCTGCTAAGGTTGCATCTCTTAATCGCGCTCACCACTTTTTTACTCCATATTCTAATCTTCTTTTCAATAAATTTCAAATCCGCCTTTGTATGGAATACTGTTACCATATCTGGAGTGGATCTTCTAATGATGCACTTTCTTATTTAGACAAGGTGCAAAAACACATTGTAAACATAGTTGGACCTGTTTCTTGCAGCCAACCTCTAACCATTATCACATCATCGTAATGTTGCTTCTCTTTCTCTTTTCTATAAATACTATAATGATAATGGGCACAGCTCTTAAAAGCTAGTGTCTCTTGTGCCATCTACAAAAATTAATATTTGTGTTTCTCATCATTCAATTAAATCTCATCCTTTTACTGTGACTGTTCCTAAGTGCTTCAAAAATTCTTATTGATCAAGTTTTTTTCCTCAAACATCAGTTTTTTGGAATTCGTTCCCTTTGTTTTGTTTTCAGGATTCATATTATTTTGACTTTTAAGTCTTATGCTTATTGTTATCTTGCTCTATAAACTTCATCTTTCCTCTTCCAGTAACTTTTAACTCTAATAGTGGTTGCCTGCAGCCTTGTTAGAAGTAAGGATGTTAAAAAAAAATGAAAAGCATGTTGTCTGGCATTAGATGAATCAACAAATAGAGATAATACTGCTCAACTGTAGAGGTGATACTGCTCAACTGCAGATATGATACTGCTCAACTGTAGAGCTTATACTGCTATACTTGTTAGAAATATAACTAGAGACTTGGAAGTAACTGAAGAACTGTTTGATCATATGACGGTCATATAATCATATGAATGGCACAACTAGACAAGAAAATATTCTCTCTCAAGTTAAAAAACATGTAAAATAGAATATAGACTCTGCTACTGCAAATGAATCAAGTGCACTGACTAAAAGAAATATTTAATTTGTGACATTACTTAAAAAGTCCTTTAATTGTAGTATTCTTTTGTATTATACATAAGGATTAATTATGCGCAAATGTATTAGAGATAAAAGACGTTATCGTACTTGTTATTCAAACTGTTAATACTATAAAAAGTCAGAACCAGAAGCAGGGTTGGAAAAAACCCAGGGTTTTTTAAAAAAACCCAACCCAAATGGGTTTTTTTGGGTTTTATTGGGTTTTTCTGGTTTTTTTAAAAACCGAGCAAAATACCAAATTTTTATAATTGTATGAGTACAATAATTTTTTTTTTAATTTCATAAATTCACCTTCCTATTGCTCCAATCAAGCCACTTCAGTCAAGGGAGCAACTCATTTTTTAAAAATATTTTGTCTCAAACCTTAACATTACCATTTTTACTAACAAACAACATTAACAACTAAAATTTTTAAACAAAGGCGCTGTGCAGAGAAATAGATTGAGCACAGTAATTTCAGCAGAAGTAATTTGAACCCCAACCTTCTGGTTGCAAGCCAAATGTTTTACTACTAGTCTACTAGCACATTTTACCTATAGTGCAAAAACTGGGACTCCATCAACTATAAATGATGTTAGTTAATTGCACTAAATTAAAAATACGTTCAGAATATTTTTGACTAAAAAAAAATCAGTATAAAAATTATTATGACAATTGAGTTACTCAAAGTTGGTAAGACAATATAAATGTTGCAAACTAGTTTTTTTTTACTAACATGTTCAACATATCATTTCAAAAACTATTTTGCACAAGTTTACAACATGTAATCAACAAGTTTGCAAAATGATGTTGCAACCTTATAAGTTATTATGAATCAAGTTGACTATGAACACTTTTTAAACATTTTTGTATCATAGAAGAAAATTGCTAGCCTAATCACTACATTTTTTTTTATCAGAACATTATACTGTCCAGCATCCTGAAAAAGTTATCCACCTGATCAACTGGACTGGCAAAAAATGGATTTTTGCCTAAACTTTAGTTGTTCTTAAAATATCTAAAATAAATTTGTTAAGAACCATTACAGTGTCTTTGCCACCAAGTTTTTTTTTTTCCTTGAAGATATTTTACCGGCTCAGTTTTGCAATGCAAATTGCAAACTGAATCAAAGTAACACATTATACAGCTCTATTGTGTGTGTTTCTTCACCTTTTAGCAACTTGATGCTGATGTTAATTTTCAACCCACTGTTCATATTTACCCTTGTTGGTGGTACATGTTGTAAACTTATAGCTGATACAAAATATTCAAAACCTATCAAAAGACAGATGAGCACAAGTGTCATTTTTACCAACAAATCTTGTCTTTGTGAAATGCATACAAGTTTTCAACATGTTCTCTCATTGAATGAGCAAACATGTTGCAAACTTGCTTTGACATAACTTAATTTTTTTTAAGTTTTAAAGTTGTATGTACTTAAGGACAAATCTAGTAAACTGTAGTATTTTTTTTTTGCCTGACAACTTTCTCTTTCTAAACTGTAAATAAAGTTTAATAATTTTTATATATAGTATTTTGCTTGTGGCTTTCTACTGAAATTTGCAGTTTACAACATAAGCTTTAAAAAATAAAAAAGCAAATACCAATATAAAGGAATATAGACATTCGAGAGGAGAATAAAAATACTAAATAACTAGTAATGTCTTGAAATTTATTTAATAGAATGATTTTTATTTCCTTTATAAGTATTTAACTAATTTAATGTTTTAATATATATTTCAATAACATTTATAATAACTTGCTAAATGCTTAAAAAAAATAATAAATAACCAACTTGCTACAAAAACAGATTGATTGGTTTTAGGTATATTCTAAATACCATTATGTATATAAATACAGTGTTTACAAGAGTAATTACAGTATAAAGGTTGCACTTGCTGATAATAAAGCATTTATAAGTGTTAAAATCAAAGTTATCAGTTGTAAAATAGGACATTTTTAAAAAAACCCAAATATATTTTGGATTTTTTTGGGTTTTATTGGGTTTTTTTAAGGTGGGTTTTTTTGGGTTTTTTTGGGTTGGGTTTTTTTGGGTTGGGTTTTTTTTCCAACCCTGACCAGAAGTCACAGCCTTAATTACAGGCAGTTTGAACAATTGTTTAAAGATAGTGGTAGATAGGCTGATGATGTAATTTATTCTGAATAGATTTTTTATATTACTATCTGAAATATTACAGGTTCTAAAAATAATGAAAAAGACACAAAATCATTAAAAATATTGACTAGTAATACTATTTCAAATATCAAAATAGTGTTTTTGACTTTTTTTTTCCCATGAAATAAAATACAAAACAATAAATACTTGAAAAAAAGCGTACAAAAAAAAACAATAGAGAAAAAATGTCTACAAAGAAGTAGAATTACAAAACAATAAAGAAAAAAAACTACAAAAATGTAAAATTGGTAGAGCTTTATAAAAAAAACATGAGTATCAAAGTTAATGTATATAAGTATAGACATGCTATTAAAAATTCTTTACATTTTGGAAGCACTTACAACGGTTTTTGGTATAAATAAATCATGTTAAAACAGAGCACATAAATGATGCATGTTAAAATAGAGCACACGATTGATAAACATCTTAATGATATTCTTTGAATTTTGTTATCCAGTATAAAGGTAAATATTGATAACTTATGCAAATAAAAAAAAAAAACTTTCAAGTCATTGATAATAATTAATAACTATTCAAATTGTACCAACATGGAATAATGGTTTTTAACATGCAATATAGTTATTTTAACAAAGTTAAAAACATTACATTTGCTTGCATCTATCTATAATTATTATAATACATAATATTTATCATATAATCCAAAAAGAACATTTAATAAATCTTTTATTTTGAATAGCTTTATTTTCTTTTCTGTTTTATGCAATACAAACTCTAGGAAAATTAATGATAACAGTTTTCTAAGGTTGTTTGTTAAGTTATTTCAATTTATAATTATATATTTTACATTTAGTTATACTTTAAATGACATAAAAATTAACATGAGTTACGCTGAAATAATCAAATGATAATAATCAATTAAAAAGAATAATTTTGTGAGAAACATAGACATACCATCACCTATTTATAGGGTGAGGAACATAGACCTACTAATACTTGTTTATAGGGTGAGGAACATAGATCTACTAATGTCTGTTTTCTACACTGACTACTAGCGTTTCTATAATAATTTTTTCTATTGTTGTCTATATTTCTTAATGCAATATACTAAACTATATATTCTGTTAAGAATATTAGCATGTAAATTTAATTGAAAACTTACCCTGGATACAAGTAACATGAGTTGTACATTAAAAACCTGTTTTATATGCTTTTCACACATCATTAACTCTGAACATAATTTGCTTTTATCATTAACTAAAATAAAAAAAAATAAAACATATTTAAGATTTCTAATAAAAATTACAATATAAAAAAATGTTTTTTGTAAAACAGAGAACTAAACTTTTAAAACTAATTTTTAAAAATGATGAAAAAAATGTGTTTATTTATTTTTATGTGTTGAAAAAAATGTGTTGATTTACATTTACATTTCTCTAAAGCATTTTATTTTACTATAGATAGTTAGAATTAGTTCAACTGAAGCATCTGAAGAAAATGAGTAGTCTTTAATATACAAGGAGAAAGACTTTTTAAATGAAGAGTTATTAATTGTATGAACTATGTGACAAATTTCTGAACAACTGAAATTTAAACACGATATGTATATATATATATATATATATATATATATATATATATATATATATATATATATATATATATATATATTATATATAAATTTAAACAGGATATATATATATATATATATATATTATATATAAATTTAAACAGGATATATATATATATATTTTTTTTTAATTATTCACCTCCCCAAGGTCCGAGGGGGCCACTACAGTCGAGGAGGCTACTCATTTTTTTTTTTTTTGTTGTTGTTGTAAATCGTGGTACAACCCTCTCTCAACTCTTTAACTCCGAAACACGAACCTTGACAAGCAAGGCCGCTGCGCGGAGAAATTAAGTTAAGCGCGGTACTTCCAGGGACATGGTGGGAGTCGAACTCCGAACCTCTCGCTTACAAAGCGAGCGCTCTTACCACTACACCATTACCGCATTTAATATATATATACATATATATATGTATATATATAAATATATATATAATATTTATATATAAATATATATACAACATATACATATATGAATGCAGCATTAGATACACATTGATGACATCATACTGAAATAGGTATTTTGGTGGCTTCAGTACATACATCAGCTGATTAAATAGCTATATTAGCATGGGTTGTTACAACATACCATCAACTATTAGTTGTAAATTAAACATTTATATTAGCGTGGATCGTTACAACACACAATTTGTTGCTTACATAATTACGTTACACAAACTTACCTTGGCATAATAATACTTTAAGTTCACCCTGTGAACTTTGAGTACTATTATTACTTTTATTACTTATAGTTCATTTCTAATAACATATACTATATAAATATGAACATGACAGAGTTATATTTTTATTTTTACTTTGTCATTAATCTTCTAATAAAAATAAACTTCACAATCATTCTTTACACTTTTTACATAATAAAAAAATTTGATAAGATTTATGGTAACTCTTACTTGGTGAAGTTTTTGTTTTATCTTTGGATGGCAGCAAACTATCCAAAGAAACATTAAAAGAGTCAGCTGATTCTTTTTGCACAGTTTGAAGAACACATAGCAGACTGTATATATTGTTTATGCGGTAACACATCTAAAAATAACTTAATTCTTTATTTCATATTTTTAATACTTTTTATAATAAAACAACAAAATACTTTACAAAAATAACAACAACAATTATAATAAAAACAAAGACATTTGGTGCATAAATAATTTTTTTTTTAATATTGGTTTTAGGAAATAACAAACTTTATTTCAACCAAACTATTTTTCATTGTTAGCTATGACTTTAAACAATATTTCTGAAAATATTAATTCCATTGAAAAAAAAATTGTTTGTTTCTTCATGCATTCTAATTTTCAAGCCGTTTTTGATTTTTTTTGTAGTTTTTTAAGTGCTAATTTAAAGAGCACTTTGCATTGATCAAAACCAGAAGTAAGCGGATCCGATGAATAAGAAGCACACAGTAGAGTGCTTCCATTTAAGTGCTTCCATTGTGCTTCTTGTTTTTTTTTGAATATTGTCATGCAGCAAAACTATTTTGTTGGTTGAATTTGAACAATTTTGTTTAATGCATGCTTCAAATCTATTAATTATTGTTGACAATGCTTAACATTTTTGTTAACATTTAACAGCTCATAGTACACCACTTGTCTGATCCCATTAAGTGCACAACATTACCTTATTATTACAAATGTTTTATTCTGCTATTGACACAGATGGTTTGCCTCATTTAAACAATCCTTTTTAGATTAAGGATTACCATACTAAACTCATTTTTTATCACCAGTTTCAATTTAATGCAAAATGCGCTTTCTTCAGTGTAACTGAAAATTTGCAAACAATTTTCAATTTTATTTCAAGTTGGTTTATGTAAAATGTTCTTTTTGTATTAAATTTATGTACAAATTTCTTTTTTTTCTAAATCATTTTCATGGAATGCAAATCATTGCTTATGGCAGCTTGAGAGACATTTAACTATTCTGTAAGTTCAGTTTTCTGTTTGAGCTTAGTTTTCCTTCAATACTTCAATGACAATTTATAGTAATTATGTATTAATTTCTTAATAAAGAATACAAAAGTAGAGCAAATATAGTACAACATCACTAATTTTGAACCATTTTAAACCATTTTTACAAGTCTGTTACAGGCCTTGTGATGAGGCAGGAACTTTAATATTAATTTATGCGGCATAAGTTCAAATTAAAAATCTTAATGCAAAAGAGCCAATGCTTCATTTCTTCTATTTGAAAGCTAAATTCAGCATGATGTTTTTTAAATTCCAGTTGAAATTTATTGTATTATTCGCTAAATCATACCCTGATTAAGTTGAACCATTCGCTAACTCATACAGTTTTTTAGGGTCTATTTGACAAAAAAAATTTGCTCCAATAGACTTTACCTTCGAATTTTCGAAACCTTCGAATTGCATAAAAGTCCATGTTATAAAATATCAAAACTTGCAACACTTCAATAAAAATTCCAAACTTAAATATTTAAAAACTAAATATCTAGCGTAATATTTATAAATACCTTATAAATAAATATCTAGCATAATAATTTATCAAACTAAAATTTCACTTTTAGCTTTGATTTTGTTCAGGTTCGACCACATTCTATTAATTTATGACTAATATATTTAAAATTCAAAAAAAAACTTGAATATCAAATATTTTTTGTTAAATATAATTTAATAAACTAAATATTTTCACTGATCTTCGAATCAGTTAAGCTTATATTAAAGTCCATTAAGCTTATATTTAAAAAGTTGAAGCTAAACAAAATAAAATTAAAAGTTTTAATAAACAATACATATAACAAATATATTTGTTATACGTATTGTATATTGAAGTTTTTGGAAGCATGCTCACAAACAACAAAAGAAAAAATGTAACGCCACTAGTTTCACAAACGCATTTCTTAAAATATTCGTCAGCATACAAGTTATTTATATATTGTATTTGTACAATTATATATATATATACCTTACATATATATTATATTAGTTTATAAATGTTATGTAAATATATTATATATTTATTAAGTATATAATCACAGAGCTGGATTAAGGAGGTCCCCTCCACCTCTTTAACCCAAAGTTAAATTTACTAAATTGTCTAATTGAAAACAAAAACACAAAAATAAAAAGACTGTCAACAAAAACAGTGCATTAAAAAAAAAATTTCGATCTTGAACTAACGGAGAAGCGCTAATCACTTCTACAAAATAATTACTAGATTATTAGCAGCACCTTATAATAAAAATCAAATGTAATATTTGTACAAATTGCTACAAAAATAATACCCTTTAGAAAATTATTAATGACTTGAATAACTATATTGTCTTTGAAAATCTATTTATGAATACAACTCTACAACTCTTTTGTACTCACTTACAAAGGAATTCTTGTTTATAAAAGTTGTAGCGCAAAACTTATGAAAGCGAAGATTCAAGAAAAAAAACGAATAGCTTAACTCTTTTAAAGTTAAACAAACATTTCTAATATGCTGAGAAAATATGAAAATGGAGTTTCTAAAAGGAGATTAAGAGAAAAGAAGAAAGAGAGAGAGGAAATCGTAGCTAAACTTCCAAAAATGACAAATTTTTTTTCATCAAACCAAATCAATATGCAATTTCCACAAACTGTAGAAAATAATAAAAATAATGAAAGAAAAGATAAAAACAATAACACTGAAAATGAGGTAGCCTGCCTCAATCCTTCAAATAAAATTTACAAAGTTGAAAGTGTTGAATCTACAATGCATAATAATGAACTTGACTCAGTTTTTAAGATCATCTTTAATGACATCTCTAACATCTGCTAAACAAACAATTTACTTTTTAGGCATTTAATAATATTTTTCTATAAATTGTCACTTTTATGACACTCATTAAATACACTTTGACTTTTTTTTTCCCTAGATATCATTCTACATGAAGACAATCCTTTATGGCCATTACAATTAAAGGAAAATGAACGCATGAAGTATTGAAACAAGGGTTATGCTTTTTTTTCAAAATAAAGACTCTAATCTCAAATCTTCTAAATGAATGTTCAAAAACCAGTATAGATATTATTCAGTTAAATATTTTCAAAAAGTGATGAATAATGGGGAAAAGTGTTACCGAAAATGGTTAATGTTTTCTGAATCCACTGGATGTGTATTTTGTTATTTTTGCAAATTATTTTCAATCGATTATGACAATGTATTTGTCAAAAGTGGTTTTTACAATTGGAAAAAAGCTAAAAAAACTATTTTTGGCCACGAAAACAGCATTGAACATATTCAACGTATGTTGAATATGTTCAATGCTGTTTTCGTGGCCAAAATAGAATAGTAGCAGTTATTAGTTTTTTAGCCGGAAAAGGTTTGGCATTTCAAGGCTATAGGGAAGTTATAGGATCGTTAAAAAATAGAAATTACTTAGACGTGTTGACTCAATTTGATCCAATTTTAAAGCAACACATTGATACTTTTGCAAATAAAGGCAAAGGTAATGTATCTTATTTGTCTAAAACTATTTGTGAAGAGTTAATTGATATTATGTCTCAAAAGGTTTTAACGCACATCATTATTAGTAGATTCTAAGCCTGATATTTCTCACGTGGATCACCTTTCTGTGATATTTCTTTATTAAATTAATGGCCACATGTATGAGCAATTTTTTTTCTTTCTAAAAATTAAAAGCCAGGCTTACTAAGATTACTAAGATTTTAGATCTACTGGAAAAATATGATATTGATATAAAGATATGATATTATAAAAATTGATAAGCAATTGTTGTGGACAGGCATATGATAATGCAAGCAATATGTCTGGTAAATATTCTGAATTACAAGCACATTTAAAAGAGAGGAGTGAATTAGCTTTTTATATCTCCTGCACTAGACATTCTTTAAACTTAGTAGGGTAGTGTAGTATCAGCAAGTGCATTAATTCTATCAAATATTTTGGCGTTCTGCAGAGTTTATATTCATTTTTTGTAGCTTCAACACACAGATAGGATTTATTGAAAGGAAAGCATGCTACACTCAAGCGCCTATCAAATACACAATGGTCATGTAGGTCAGATGCTTCAAAATGTTTAGTATAAAATTTTGATGGGATTCATGCGGCATTATGTCTTATAGCTGAGGAAAATATATAGAAGAAAAGTCTGATACTTGTCATGAAGCTATGTGTTTATTATATAAGACCACTAAGCTAGAGTTTGCATTCATGGCTGTACTCTGTACATCACATACTTATGAGGTTTAATGAAGTTAACAAATTTCTTCTAAAAGTTGAATTTGATTTGCATACAGCAAGCAGTATGTTACTTTCACTAATTGACTGTAAAAAACTTACAAAACGACTTAAAGAGATTTGAGTATGAATTAAAAAAACTTCATTAATTGAACAAGACTGATAAGAACAAAAGAAAAGTAATTAAAAAATTAAGTAACAGAGAAAACCAAGCTGATACTTTAAACCTATTTGATAAGTTTTGTGTGAAAACATTTTTTGTCATTATTGACAAACTTGTGACACAACTAACTATAAGAAGTGATGGTTACAGCCACATAAGTTATTTGGATTTTTGGCAAAGCTGTTAACTATTAGTATCATGGAATTGCAAGCTAGCACAAAAAAAATTGTAGAAGTGTACTTAAAGGATTTAGAAGATAGTCTCATTTTTGAAATAGAACAATTTGTATCATTATTGAAATTGCAACCTCCAGGTTTTTTTTCTCATAAAAAACTAAAACAAAACATGCATTGATTCCTCTGCATGTTTTAAATTGGATTGTTGAAACCAATATTATTGATGTATTTCCGAATGTTTATATAGCATATTGTTTGTTTCTAACTATTCCCATAACAAATTGCAAGGCTGAGAGATCATTCTATGCTCTTAAAAGAGTAAAAAACATGCACTGATCAACAATAATCATAAATATCAGCGATAGCTAATATTTATTTAAATAATGCATATTTATTCAAGAAAGTCTTTATTTTACTCATTTTCATCGTTGTCCATGAAAAGGGGCCTCCTACTTTAAAATAGCCGTGGGTCCCAAAAAGTCTTAATCCACCACTGTATAATCAAGTATATAAAAAATTATTCACTTGATGATAATTAAATTATGCATTCAGTTTAAATTAGAAAGCAGTTTTCTGTTTTGTACAAACAATGAATGGAAAGTTATAAAACCATTACTGCTAACAGATAGAATGTTTACTATTTTCAAAAATTTTTGTCCCAATGAGAATAGAAAATTTAAATTAAAAAATTAAAACTTGATAGATTTTTGAAAAATCAAAAGTTTTAATCCGCAAAATTTTGTAAAAATGTAAGATTCTTTTGCTTTATTGTTTTTAATATTTCACATTTTTTTTGTAAATAAAAGAAATGTTCTTAAATAAAAATAATTCTTAACCTTTTTTATTTAAACTATTATTTAAACTATTATTTATTTTAAATTAAAAGTCTTTCTGTTGTTCATAATGTCCGCAATCAAACTTCAAAATTCAACTCCAAAAGAAAACAAAGTTATGTTGTCAAATTTTAGTAAATGGTGATATTTCATTGTTTTTATTTATCTCAAAGCTGCAGTAACATATTTTTTCCGGTGGATAGACAAATGCATTTACTTTAAAACCAAAGCTTTTTTGCCTGATTTCCTGGACTTCATATGAAAAAAATTCAAAAAAAAACCATCCACTCTTTCTCTTGTATGCACTGTTATGCTTTTGAGTGACCCCCTCCCCATACCTTCTTATGTAATTTAGGGATGGCCCCATGGCAACCAATTTCCAACTCTGAGTATTGCTATCGAAAACTTGATGCCGAGCGCACATAATTGCGCTCGTTGATAACATGTTTCAGTTTTACGAGAGCAAAATATCGCACTGGGCAATTTTATTCATCACATGCACTGCTGTTAAATTGGTACATGTCAACCTTAAGTTTTTTGAAACAAACAAAAACTCTCAGCAGCTATTTTCTTTTGATTAATGCTTAATGCTAATGCTTCTTGCTAATGCTGTATTGTTTACACTTTCACAAATAATGAGGTAATAAATTTAAATATAAAATTAGTATGCATTATTCTTAAAGAAAAATTTTGTACATATACAAGCTTTTAGAAAATCCAGAAAACAAAGTTATACGCCCAATAGTGATAATGATAACATCAACAATAAAAACAAAAATAATTAAACACAAAAAAAAAATTTATACTTGTCTAGTTATAGGTTCAAGTCTGATTCTTGATACCTCAAAAAATGTTTGTAAAATGATACAGCTGCCTAGCAATAAAAAAAAGAAAAAAAATAGAAATAAAGTTATTTTACATTATAGTTAAAGTGTAAATAAACCTTATAAACATTTATGATTTTTAGAAAGTTATTGTAACATGTAACCCCTTTTAATTTTAACAACATTTAGTAAAATAAAAACATTATACTTGATATTTTGAAACAAAAAATTTTGATATAAGTTAAATTTATACTGAATGTGGCAATAAAAACTAAAATTTAGAAATAAATAAATTAAAAAAACATCTTAAAACAAAATCCCATTCAGAAAACATATACAGAAAAAAGTATTTTTTTAATTTCTATTCTAGTTGTGGCCATTAATATACAAATACTGTATATATACAGCAAGCAGGGAAAGCACCCGACTATAAAAAACTAGTTTTATCAACATTTGTTATAAATTATTTTTCACAACCTAGAGTCTAGTCTACTTTTAAAAGAAAGTGCAATTCAGTTGAAAGTTATTTGCTCTGGTGGTTCAGTATTTTGCTGACCTATCATAAACTGATTAAGTCTTGGAAGGCAGTTTAAAACATAATTACGAATCATTTTAAAATGGTGACCAAGAGAGTAAACATTGATTTATACCTTGATTATTTTGCAGAAAGTAAATGTAATGATGAACAAAACACCATGTTAAACATAAGTAAACAAGTGTTGGACCACTTGTATACCAAGCGAAGATAATAAAGCGAATACATAATCCTGCAGATCAATGAGATTAGTCTGTATAAAATCTTAGAAAAAAGTTTAGTTTCATTGGGAAATTTCAGATGTTTTAGTAAGTTGAGCAAGATTGTTTGTGTAGAGAATGAAGAGGAGCAGGTCGAGAACAGAAGTTTAAAAAATACCATTGAGAACAACAACCGAAATAGAGCTAGCATTGTTGATAGTAACACGTTACTTTCTGCCAACTAAAAAAGTATTATTCATTTGTAGGAGTTTGCCATTTATTTTAAAAGATCTTAACTTTAACTTAAGTCTGTTGTGAGGCACTGAATCAAAAACTTTTGCTAAATTGAGGTTACATCAATAAACTGGTGAAATGCTATAAAAGATTAAATAAGTTTAAAAGTCTCTATTAGATTAGTTATGCAAGATTTATGAAGACTTGCAGAGAGCATGTTATTATTGTTGATTCAAGAGTTTACAAGTTTTTCAAAGGTTTTGCAGGCAAAAGAGGTTACTGAAATAGGTTGATAGTTTTTAGCAAGTTATTTATTTCCCTTTTTATTATAGACCAGATCACTAATTTCCAGAGAGTGAGTACTATTTCAGAACTAAATAACAGAATTAATATTACAAGAATATTAACTTTCAAAGCATAAAGGAATAAATATATATAAGGTTTAAGTTTATTTGTAACTTTTTCTATATAAAAGTTTGGATATGACAATAAATTTAAATTATTAAAAACCAATTTAAATGATAAAGATCTCTACAATTTTTATTTCTTCAACATTTTTAATTATTTATGGATAATCAAAAAATTATGTTTGAAAAATACCTTTACACTTTAAAGACTGAACAGTGGTATCAAAAGAATGTCGACAACCAACTGATTTTTTTAATTCATCAAGATCTGTTAAAAACTAAATCAAAATTTATATGCAAATATGTAAATATATCATATATATCATATATTAATATACATTACTTACAGATAATTTAGGTTAATACAACATATCACAGATGTCATAACTAATTGCAATTAACTTGACTTCTTATTAACAATGTCATACTAATATAGTTTTGGAGAAAAATGAGGCTACATACATCAAATGATAGGCTGTAGGTGGGTAGATTTATACTGCTATAACAATAAAAGAATTGTAGTACTCTTTTTATTTATTTAAAAGTATTCAAACAAATCATTTTTAAATAACTTATTGATATACAAAACATGTCAATAAAGCCACATTAACAACCCTAACCTAACTAAATAAATCATTTTATTTATGTACACTATACAATGACCATTACTAAATAAATTGAGTATAATATACATATGATCATTAACTTAATACAAAAATTTAAATATTCTTCAAACAAATTTTTAGATACAATCAAACAAAAATAACAAACCTATGGATAACTTTAAAACAATAAACAATCAACCTTTTTTTCAACATAGTAATTAAGTTTTTTATTAGTTTTTTCATTTAGTCTTTCAACACCACAGATATCAAGAAGTAGCAAACTTGAAGAATATTTTTTTAAACATGATCCAATGATCTAAAGATAAAAACAAGTTTTTTATTTATAAAGAAATATTTCTAGAAAATGAAGAACTAAAAAGAATAACAAATTACTCACAGTATAAATCTGCCTTAATAAATCAATGTTTTTATTTTGCAACAGATCACGTGATGGATAAATTGTGAAAAAAAATGTTCTGGCAAAGTTAATTAGTTCAAAACAACAAGATAAGATGTCAGAGAAAGAACTTGTAACCATAAGCAAATCATTTTGAAGTATGCTTAATTGTTTTTTATTTACTGTTTCTTGATTTTTGTTTGAACCTTCAATTGTTTCAAAAACATCATGTATTTTTTCCTTAACAAATGAATCTTCCATTTCAGAAACACTTAAAACTTCATTTATAATTGAATCATTAATTTTATTTTCCAGAGAGTCTTTCAACATCTTTTCAAGCCTTTCATTTTTTTGATTCTCTGTACAAGGTCCCTCAGACACATATGAAAAACTTGGATAAAAACTATTTTCAATTTGGTCTAATAACTCAGTTAATAAGTTATTAACGACTAGGTCATTACTTGAATTGCTCAACAATTTATTATGACTAACAATATCTGATTCAGCATTGAAAGTTTCATTCTCGTAGGTTACTATCTGGTCTTCATTAATTTGCTCTATAGAAGCAAAAGGAGACAAACTTGGATCATGATTAAAAAGCTTATGAGTGTCCTGTGTTTCCTGAAGAGATTTTACTTTTTCTTTAAATTGAAGAATGCAAAAATTGTCTTTTTTTATAAATATCTGTATTAAGAATTGGATATTAAAAGAGACCTTTTCAATAATATCTGGTAACCACGCTTTTATTGAATTTCTCCAGGTTTGTGCACTGTTTAAAAAAATAAAAAATTATTGAAACTAAACTAAAATCAGTTGATATCAAAACGCTAATTTCATTCAAGTTTGGTTGTTGACTAGGTATTCTAGGTATATATTCATTACTGTCTATTTAATATTAAAATACTTTATATACGGTAACAAAATTTAAATATTCTAAGAAATTAATTTTATTGTATAAATAATTTTGTCCTACTATTTATAAATGTTTTACACCAAGTCCATTAGCATATCACTGATAAGCTAGCTTATCTTGAACTAAAGTCTGATGAAGTTAAAAAAAAAAAGTCTGATGAATTTTTAAAAAAAAAAGTCTGATGAATTTTTAAAAAAAAAAGTCTGATGCAGTTTTAAAAAAATAAAGTCTGATGAAGTTTTAAAAAATGCAATGCTTTAAAATGCAAAGAACTCATGCTTTTTCAATGTGAGAGTGCAGGCTTGTTTAATGTGTTTACTCATGTTTTTTTTTAATAATTTTTCAATGTCCATATGTTTTCTCCCATTACACATGCATGCTAAAATATTTGTTTAATGCAGATGCTTACTTAGGTATTTTCTATCAACAGATTCTTATTTGCATTTTTTTAAATAAATGATAATAATAAATAATAAAAAATAATAAATAATAAATTTTACTTTTCAGTAAAAACCTAAAAATTGTGAACTAAGTAATTTTCATAATAAGTTCAATCATGTCAGATCAGGAAAAAAAATAGGTTCAACCATGTCGGATCAAGAAAATAAAAAACAAAAAATAGAAGACTTGTTTGTTACCAGATTCAAAATCATTGCTGAGAATGAAGATACAACTTTATTGCTGTTATATCAATAAACTACAAAGAAAACTGTAAAAAAGAACTTTTAAACGTCATACCTTTAAACGAAGATCTTTTAAAGAACCTGGTTTATCAAAGACAATTGAAAGCATTAAATTAGAATATCAGAGAAAGAATTTGTAAACATGACAAAACCATTTAGAAAACTACTTTTTAATAACTTTTCTTAATTTTTTTTTTAATTTTAAAGATTCTTTCTTATTAATCACAACTAAAATTAAATTATGAGTGGATCATTATGTTTGCTTTTCTAAGAAATCTTTAATATCTTTATATAAAAAAATTGTTTAAATTTCAGTTAAGATGATGTTATAAGATAAAGTAAAATAGAGAATTAAAAAAAAAAAAAATTTTTGTTTTCTAAAGTCTCTCAAAAACTAAATATTGAAAGATCTTATAAAATCCATGATAAAACTATATATAGAAAAAAATATTAACCCTTGGAATAAAAAAAACTGACTGTCTATACTGATTGACCATAGAAATGAGATCTCAAAGGGATTAAAAAACCAAAAATCTATTACTTTATCTGAAGTTGCCATGTGAGACCATAAAACTTTTCTGATTTTAAAAAATATTTCTATTGACGTGGTTTTAAATTGTTGCAACAATTGGTACATTGCTAAGTCACATACTGATGTGAAATAAAATTTTAAAATTTAGCAATGGTTTATGGTAATGAGTTGCATTAATTTTGTTTGCATTTTAGGAATAATAAATTTAAAAAAGTCAATGTAATGGTGGTAAAATAAAAATGTAAATTGTATCACTGAATCAATACATCATTAGAATTTTCCACAAAAGGTATTAAAGCCTACAATGATGTTGTAACTCAAACTCAGTCTCCAGCTGCTAACAGTATAGTGAACTTTTAACTACCAGATATTTCAAAATATTCTGAAAATAGGTAAACAAAAAGCATGGAAATAGCTTTATAGCTTAATATCTATAACTCCCTAAGGAGCAAATTAGAAAACTAATTTAAGAAACTAGAAAACATTCTGCTTCAAAATTTTGAAAAATCTCAAAGTATTTAAAAAAAATTTTCTAACAACCAAAAATTACACAAAAGAAGAAAAAATTGCCATTACGTATGATATAATTACATGATAATTTATGATTATAATTATGTATTATATAAATAAAATATTTTTTTCAAATGTGTATAAAGGAAGAAGTTGTAATCGAGCAACAAAAACTAGAAAATAAAAATCATTAAAAGTAAATCTAGAACTTATTCTCCTGAAACTAAAATGCCATCAAAATTGTAACAACATGACATAAAAACAAAATTATTTAGCAAATGCATCAAGATTGTTAGACCCTCTAGTTTTGATAAGAGAAACAGAAACTAATAAAAGATTTACTAAATCTTATAGTCCCAACTATGCATTATATGGATAATGCACAAGAAAAACTAAATGCTAATGAGATGTGAAAAACTAAATGCTAATGAGATGACATATATTAAAAGAGAGTTTGTAAAAAATTTCTGATTGATCAATTTTATAAATGAGTGTCTTGTAGAAGGCCTCCTAGGCAAAGACTTAAGGAGTCAGCTGAAAAATGCTGACCAGCATTCTTTATATTAGGATAGGGCAGATACAAACCTGTTACATTTCATCCTGCCTAGGATGACGAATGCTGGATATTCATGACTCTACTCATAGATTTTTGCTTTTTCCTCCTTGATAGTGGCTATGCAACTCTTTCAGCTATCTTCTAATGAGGAACTCTTTCAGCTATCTTCTAAAACTCAGTTAAATGGTTCTGAGGCCAGCTGGTAGTAAAGTTTCCTGTACTCTGTGGTAGCTCGCAGAAAGGCTGATTTCATCAACAGCTATAAAATATCAGAGTATGAACAGTGCCGTGTTGCACATGGATGGTGTCGCTGTTAATGCTTTTAGTGCTGATTATCAAGACCACATAAGGAGCCCTAAGTTATGAATTTGGGTTAATTAACAGAATTGAGACATATCTGTAAAATTCATAGCTTGGGAGGCGTATGAATGAGTCAAGTTCTCTTTAAACTTAAATCATGCTAAAAGTAACCCAAAATAAAAAACATAAAAAACCATCTCCACCACATAACTATTTTAACTTATCTTTTTTTTAAAAATAGTTATGTGGTGGAGAATATTTGTGGTCTGCCAAGCAAACATCCATAAGTTAAATCTTACTTTTTGCAAAATTAACTAGACTTTCTTGCTCTTAGTGAGACTAATTTATATTCCACTATTTCTTCTTCAGATCTCAGTGTTGATGGGTACAATCCTTTGATTCGCAAAGACTTCAATCACATGCTTGGCTTGGGGGTATACATACGCATCAACTCACCTATTTGATAGGTTTGAATTCTTCAACTATTTTTTTAAGTGCTTCTGCTAAGCACCTCTTTACTCTACCAACTTTCTTTTTGTTCTTTATTGTTCTTATTTTTCCCAAGAATGCATTCTTTTAGATATTATTTCTGATCTAATTGACCATGCCTATTCTCTTTACTTCCCCACCAATATTGTTATTGGCGACTTTATTTCTCATTGCACTGAAAGAGTTGTGATAGAGCACTGACCCTGCTGTTACTAAAGCCTGTAACTTTTGCATTTCTGAATCTCTTAATCAGGTAGTTAACTTTGTGATTCTTTTACCTGACAACCCTAAGTATTTACCTTCACTCCTTGATTTGTGTCTTGTATCTGATCCTAGCTTGTGTTCAGTTTCTTCTTTTTCTCTCTTAGGTGGTTCTGACCATGCAACAATCTCTATAAACCTTCATCTCATACTTCTTTTTCAGACTCAGCCTATTATTACACTACCCTGTTACTATCCTAAAGCTGACTGATACTCTTTTATGATTATTTTCGTGACAGTCCTTGGGCTGATATCTTTCCTCTCTTAACTTATAAATGCCCCTCCAATGTAACCATCTGAATTCATGCAGGAATGGAAGCTTTTATTCCTTCTCGTCAATTTAAAGTAAAGCCATATTTTAATCCATGGTTTTTACCTTCTTATGCAGCTGCTATATCTAATCATAATCATTTTTTTCATCTTTGTCAAAAGAATAACTCTCTTGAGAACAAACAACTATTTATTATTGCAAAAAAGGCTGCTGTCTGATGCTAAGCTCCAATATTCTCAGTTCACTAAATCCCATATCTTATCTCAGAAGTTAGGCTCAAGAGACTTTTGGAAAATCTTTAAGAGTGTCATTAACAAGGTCTAACATTCCATTTCTCATTTATGGTACAGATCTTATTACCTTTCCCAAGGATAAGGTAGAACTATTTGAAAAGAATTTGACTCTTGAACTTTATGGTCATTCTTTTCCTTTTACCAATTGTGAAACATTCAAATCACTCCAACTTCTGTTGCTAAAGTCATATCTTAATTAAAACCTTTTTCAGCTTTTGGTCCAGACAACATTCCTGCCATTGCCTTAAATTATTCTCCAGAATTCTCTTCAATTCTCTCAAAACTATTTAATAAGTGTTTGACTGAAATCCTCAACATCAAGTAAAATTGAACTGAAATCCCAACATCAAGTAAAGTTTAAATTATCTTTTTTAAAGTTACTAAGTAATCTAATGAATTAGTTTATTTTCTGTCATCTAAGAAATATTTTAACTTTTTCAAAAATATATATAAAGAAATTAGAGCACAGTTCACGAAGCTATTTAAGCAATAAAAAATTATATTTTTCTAATACAGCAAAAAAAAATCTTTTCAATAAATCATAAATTAGTTTTATAGACTTTTTCAATCAAAAGTTATAAATTTATTTTATAAACATTTCCTTATGGGCTCACTTTGACATGTTGCTATTGACGATATTGATACCTAAGAACTTGATTCTTTCTTAATGATTCAAAAGTCAAATACCAAAAGCTATTTCTAGCTTTTGGTATTTAACCTTTTTTTTAACACTCTGTAAATTTAAACAATTGCACAACCATGAAACTTTTTTGATGCTTAAATAACAATTAAATATACTCAATATATAGAAAAAATTTAATTAAAAGTAAAAACAATGAAAATATTTAAAGGTATAATTTAATAAAACCATTAAAAAAAAACAAAAAACAATTTAACAAAAATGGATAATAATAATAATAAAAAAGAATTTTAATAAATATAACAACATATATAAAATAATATAACAACTTTGCTACAGACTTTTCTATAAGCAAAAGTGAATTATAAAAAAAAAGTTTTGGCGTATTGTTTATATTTTCTGTATATTTTGTTATATATATGTTACTGTTATATATTTGATCAGTGATTTTATGATATTTTATGTAAAATGAGTATGTGTGTCCATTCCATTCACAACACAGTACTGTTAATTCACTGATATTTTACAGTAATTGATGAAATAAGCCTTCTTAAAAGCTACCACAGAATTCAAGAAACCTTATTAAAAACTGGCCTCGGAACCATTAAACTGACTTGAAGAGCTGTATTTCCATTAGAATATAACAGAAAGAGTTGTGTAGTTACTACCAAAGAAAAACAAGCAAAAATCAATGAGTTTATGTTTAGCAAATGTTAAAAATGTAATACAAGTTTATATCAGTGCCAGCTTATTAAATAAATGTTCAACCTGGTCACCAGAAATTCTCTGCTTACCCTTCAAGTCTTTATCTAGGAGGTCTTTTCAAAGCCAGTAATTAAAGCTTTTTCTTGAGACAATATTTTTAATAATTACTCAACCAAGAACCCCAAGACCAACTCAAAGGGGTATTTTAAGTCAGATTTAACTACTTTAAGCCTTGAAAAGCAAATCCTTTTTTGTTTCTGATCATTCTTGTACTTATTTAAAAAAGAATAAAGGTTTTTTTCCATTCAGAAACGATTAAAACTTTAGTGGGCATTGTAAAGAATCCAATATAAACAGCAATATTTTTATTAGAGAAACGTAACTGAATCTGAAATGAGAAACGGTCAAGAAAAGTAATCGTAATAACTTTCTTGTAGTACTTTTTAATTGATTCAGTAAGAGAATTATTTTAATTAAGTTTTTTTCCTAATAAACAAGACAAACAACTTTTTAGGAAACTAAACATTACAAACGTTTTACTAGATTACATGTTACCAGTAAAAAGGCAATTATGACAATTTTAATGATCTGGTTTTTTTAATGATGTAGTAAAGTACAGCATGATGTAGTAATGTACAGTATAGTGGTATGATGTACAATAACTATTGTAGTCAATTTACTTTGTCCATTTTACATTTTTATTTTCAACTACAAGCGTTACCTAACCTGAATTTATAAAATAATAATTTAACTATTTGGTTAATTAAATAGATACATTTAACTATTCATTAAAAATCTGAGACCTTCTATTGATAAAGCAATTCCATTCCTCATCTAACTTGTTTAAAGAATAAACCAAATGCAATACATCTTGATCCACTGGCATAGTAAAGTCAATTTGTTGAAAAAAAACTTGCACATCTTTCATTAACTCATTGTATAAAGTATTTGCAACAACTTTATGCAAAATTTTATACCTAAAAACATTTTTCTTTATCATAATTAAATGTTTTTATCTTTACAAGTACAAAAATACTACAATAAAAAATTAATATACTTTTTAAAACTTTGACATAACAAGTTTTTTTTAACACTTTGATATGAATTTGCTAGTAAAAATTATAACAGTAACTAGGGGTGTACCAGATTGGAAATTTTGAATTCCGGCAAGAACCAGAATTGTTATAAAAATTCTGGTTGGAATTCCAGCCAGAACAAGATTTATATTTATGTAGTTTTTAACTTTGAGATTAAAAGTGAAAGCCTGAACCTCAGCATCGTTGCTACATAATATATATTTATAACCTATATTATAATAACCTATAATACATTTTTGATGAAAAAAGAGCTTGTTTGTTGCCCAAAACTGTTGCCCAAAACTGCCCAATATTGTGGTGCAACTCTTTTCACACCACAATATTCCTAAACTTTTAGAAATCTTTACATAAGTGATTACTGCAAATAAAATTAGGCAAAGCTTCAGATATGCAGTCTAAAATAATTTTATTCTATGGCTTGTTGCGGCTTTTGTGTGGAGACTTGCTCTAAGTCAAGGGTGGGTTATCGCTTTAGGATTTTTTGCACGTTTCATTGGGCAAGAGGATTTTCTTATCGCTTTAGAATTTTATGGCTTATCGCTTTAGGATACAGGCAAATAATTTGATTTTATCACTTGTTGCGGCTTTGGTGTGGAAACTTGCTCTAAGTCAAGGGTGGTCAGATTTTTTAGGATACAGGCAAAAGTTAAAAAACAATTTTGCAGGCAAAAAATATTTATTTCTACAAAAAAATAAATGGCTAACAACTATTATAATCATTTGTATCAAAGCAGTATAAGTATTAAGAGCGGTGAACTTGACCGTCTGAAACTAGTTTTTTGATATCTGAATTGATTTTTGAGGTAGATAGAAGTATCACATTATTAAGATGGTTATCTCCTAAATATCCAAATTATTTAACTGGCATTTTTTTGCACGTGGGCAGTGGTTTGGCCACCAAGTGGTGACTTTTTAATATAAACATACAGAATTTTTATTGGCTTTAGTACATACATCGACTATCTTATAGCCTGCAGCTACAAGGGAGTGCTGCTATGTCAATTATCTTATAGACTGCTGCTACAAGGGAATGTTGCTACACCGACTATCTTATAGCATGCTCCTACAAGGAATTGCTGCTACATTGACTGAGGATTTGGCATAGGGCAGCAATCTTTTTTCTTTTATTATTTCAATTAAATTTCTAATGTTTAAAAACTCTCTACTAACAAGAGCGCAACAAGCGAAAAAATAAAATTATTTTAGAGCGCTAAACTGTAGCTTTACCTAAAATTACATTGTATTTGTTAAGAAGTTTGTATTTTTTACCTAGATTTACCCATAGTTCTTCAATGCCCTGTAGGACAATAATTTTTTGATTTAACTAACACAGTTTGTGTCACATGTCTTAAGTAAATAAAGTAACCGGAATATCCTAAAAGTCCAAAAATCCGGCCGGAATTCCAGCTGGAACGGATTCCGGTACATCCCTAATACTAGCATGCTTTTAGTATGCGCCTCATTAAAAAAATTTTATAAAAATATTATAATAACAACATTAATTATCATCAATTGATGTTTGTACTCTAATTGTCAGTGTAAATTAAGATAGGTTACTTGCACTGAACATTTCCAGCTCTTGCAAATTGCTTAAATTATATATATATATACATATATTATATATATATATATATATATATATATTATATATATATATATATATATATATATATATATATATATATATATATATATAATATATATATATATATATATGCATAAATATATATATATATATATATGCATATATATATATATATATATATATATATATATGCATATATATATGCATATATATATATATATATATATATATACATATATATATATGTATGCATAAATATATATATATGCATATATATATATGTATGCATATATAAATATATATATATACATATATATATATATATATATATTTTAAGCACATTTTTCGCACGTTTGAGCAAGTACTAAAACTCAAAATAATTAAATTTTTTTCCTTTCGAGAGTTTTTTCTATGTTAGAAGAAAAAAATTAAAATGAAAGGTAATTTTATTTTATTGAAATAATTTGTCTATATTTATCTACAAAAACATAAGTTATGCAGATTTTTACCAATTATTGCACTTTGCATTTATTTAAAAATGTTACATTTTTTTTAAACATGTTATGCAAACTACTTTTTTAAAAAAAACAATATTTAATTTTGATTTAAAAACGCGGGAAATAAATGTTGATTACTTTTATGATATACTTACTCTATATACTTATTACAGCTATTTACTACAGATTTATTTATGTCAGAAAAAAGTAAGAAAAAAGTTGAAACATTTTTTGGTAGGGTAATCCTTACCAAAAGACAAGTTTTCTACAGAGCAAGAAGTTTTGCCATACTTCTTGCATTTGAAGGAGAAGCACCCAAAACAAAAAGAAAGTAGAATTATGCACTGTCCATTGACAAAAATGCTGTTGGGTCATAGGTAGCATGCTTTGATGGCTAATAGTATAATCGCTAAATCAGGTGGAAATATAGCTGAAATTAAATATTCAACCTCTACAGCTTTACGCGCTGCAGATAATGATTTTGACGCATACAACCAGGTAGGGTTTTACAAAATTAGCTATCATTTTGTGAAATAGTATTTTTTCCAAATATTTTTCTTTTTCCAATTTTGAGTTCTTTTAATTTTTCTTTTACATTTTGAATAAAAAAGGTTTTGAGTAGATTGACTATTCCAGAGGAAACAGGGCATAGTCATCAAAAGCATGAAAGCATAACGTTCTTCAGAAATATTATCACCAGTGGGTCTCTAAAAAAGGTAGCCCAATAACTAGATATCTGAATTTGTAGTTATCTATGTAGTATGTACTACAATGTAGTAATTTATTATAATTTTTTTTTTTAATTCTATTATTCTTTATTATACTTAAATATAAATAGATTTATTGCATTATACCTAAATACTTATGATTTGATTTTTAGGATGGGGCAACAAGGAAGGACTACATTGAGCTGACAGAGCTTACACTTATGGTGCTTTCTGAGGACAGGTACAAATTTTGTATTCCCGCAGCAGTCTAGTTTTACGACAAAAGGTAAAGAATTGTAGGTTCATGATAAGAAAAAGTTTAAAGTGTAGTAAATTTAATTCTTCATAGCAAAAATAAAGAGCTTGTTTTACATTATCAAATATTAGGCTTTTTGAAAAATTAAATTTTTTAAAAAGCCTAATATTAAATTAGACTTTTTTTTATAGGAATCTACTATCTAAAACTTCAACTTATGATGGATTCTATACCTAGTTTGAAAAAACGGCTGAAGCATAAAATTACTGAAGTGGCAACTATTGTCTCTGTTTTTTATACTACCTGGTTTCTCGAAGTCGAACTATCCCCTGCTGCTATATATATATATATATATATATATATATATATATATATATATATATATATATATATATATATATATATATATATATATATATATATATATATATATATATATATATATATATGTATATATATATATATATATATATATATATATATATATATATATATATATATATATATATATATATGTATATATATGTATATATATATGTATATATATATATGTATGTATATATATATATGTATGTATATATATATATATATATATATATATATATATATATATATATATATATATATATATATATATATATATATATATATATATATAATGTATATGTATGTATATATATAAATATATATATATATATATATATATATGTATATACGTATGTATGTATATAAATATATATATATATATATATATATATATATATATATATATATATATATATATATATATATATATATATATATATATATATATATATATATATATATATATATATATATATATATATATATATATAGGGTTTCTAGTTTAAATAAAAAAATTTGATAATTATTAAAAACATCTTAAAAATGATTTTTTTTTTACGAAAGGTTAACAATTTTTTGTTTTATCCAGGATATGAGAGCACTTTGGCAAATGAATAGGTTTAAGGAGTACAATCTGATTGGGGCAGAATCAGTCATTGAATCTATCAAATGGCACACATGGTTTCTGGTCCCATACCTTATTGTAACAGTCCTAGCTGATGAAAAATGTAAAGAAAGAGGTGATATTGCTCAAAAACTATACAGCTATGAATTTTATAGCATGGATGAATATCTGTTAACTTAAATAAGTGCTAACATAGAGGTTATGCAATATAATAAGGTGTTTTTTTTCGTTTTAAGCAATTTAATAAAGTTTTATACAATATAATTTTCAATTAAGTTTTCATAGACCTTTAATTCTATATATAGATGTTTTATGCAACATAATTAAGTTTTTTTTTCCAAATGACTTAACATATCCATAAAGATATTGCATTGCGTAAAAATCGGTAAAAAATTGAATAAACTTTTGATTTTGTAGATATGTTAACATAAAATATTTCAGATAAAAAAAAATACCATGCATTTTTATTTGTTTCTTCTAACTTAGAAATAACTCTTGAAATAAAAATAAAAAGAATTATTTTGAGTTTTAGAACTAGCTCATGTGTGCCAAAAATGGGCTTAAAAAAAGTCAAAAATATGACAATTGAGTCACTTGAGCAACTCCTAAAAATCATCAAAAATCAAAAAAAAAAAAATTTTACTAATAAAATAGGGGTCTGCGCAGCAGACTTCCATGGTACTTTTAATTTTTTCATGATCTCAAAAAGAAGCAGTCTAATATATATATATATATATATATATATATATATATATATATATATATATATATATATATATATATATATATATATACAAATAGTATTGCGTACTAAAGTAAGCAATCTGACGTCATACTGAAATAGCCTGCTGCTGAGGGCTTCAGTACATATATCGACTGACAAATAGCCTGACTCGCAGTGGGGTGCTGCTACATCAACTGAGGGTTTGGGATGGGGCAGCAATCGTTTTATTCATCATTCTTTGTTTTTTTTTCTTCTTTTTTGAAAAAAACGGTACGGCTTAAGGTAAGCAGAAAAAGTGAGCAAATGCTTATCAAAACACGCTTTAGTAAGTGTATATATATATATATATATATATATATATATATATATATATATATATATATATATATATATATATATATATATATATATATATATATATATATATATATATATATATATATATATATATATACATATATATATACATAATATATATATATATATATATATATATATATATATATATATATATATATATATATATATATATAAAAGTTACATATTTTTAAGTTGTAGAAATTATAGATTTTTATTTTTATTACTTAAATATTTTGTAAAAATTAATACTTAAAAAAATACTAGTTAATATCAATTGGACTTGAAATATTAAGATTACAATATTTGTAATCTATTTTAAAGAAACTGGTAATGAAACTACTAAACCAATAAAAATCAATAATACTTTTAAATTTATATCTCATAATTTTCTTTTCATAATCTCAAAAATATTTGTAAAAATAAAAAACCAGTAGTTTTAACAAAATATAATAAAATTTAAACTCTTACATATCAAAATGTTCTGTCTTAAAAATGTCTTGAACCTTTTTGAAACAAAGCATTATTTCTTTTAAGAGATATAAAAGCGGTTGAGATGTTAGATTCTCAGATTGACTTTTCTTCTTAGAATAATAGTTTTCAATTGTCACCTTAAATTAAATCATTATAAATACAGCTGAATTATAAATAGAAAAAAAAATACTTTTGTTATTAACTATATATTTTTAATCAGGCTATTGATCCCCCAAACCCACAATCCCAGGCTTAATATACACAAAAATGCAAATAAGATTCTGAATCAAATATAAATCTAAGAGATGTTTATTAATAAATCAGTACAAGTTATGTTTATAATAATTTCCACTTTTAATATAAAAATCTATACAAACTTTGACCTGGGCCTTAACACAAAAAACAAACCATTGATCAACTATTGATATAGCTGATTTTGTCATCAAGCTTAACTATAAGAAGCTGTTTCCACTAACATTAAAAATATGTAGCTACAAGCTCAAGAAAACCTGAAAGCTAGAAACCCACCAAAAAGTTCAAGATTATTTTTTTAGTTCAATAACATTTAATCATACTTTTTTTTTTATAACTTGTAAAAAATTTTATTATTATTTATGCATTATTATACTTATTTAATTACATATTTATGCATCATTATATTTATTTAATTACATATTTATGCATCATTATATTATAATGAAAACTAAAAAATATTTATGCATATTATGATGGATAAGTATAAATTTAAAACCCATAACAAAAAGCTAGCTGTTTTTACTATTAAAAAAATTACATATAAACCTATAAAATCTCTTTTTTTAACTTTATGGCTGGAAAACAAAACCTTAAAAGTTTCAGAATAAAAGCACAGCAAAACATTACAGAATTTATAAATTAAAAAATAATAATAAACAAACTTTAACCTTCATGTACTTTGTAAGCATACTTTGTGTCAAGTCACATGTATCTTCAAGTTCCCATAACTTAAAGTAATGTTTGGCATTGATTGTATGTCTTAACAGTTCAACAAGCGTGGAAAAACCACCATCTGATAAAATCTTCTTATCATAAAAATCAAGAATTTTTAAAAAACAGTACTCCAACTTTAAATGAAGAATTTCCAATGCATCTTCCATGATTTTTTTCTTTAATTTTAATAAAAAAAAATTTTAATAACTTTAAAAATTTTTTAAAAAAAACTGTAAACAAAAAATAAGTGTTTGTAAATATTAATATTGGTATTATAATAATGTTAATATTTTAAATTAATAATACTAACTTTAAAGTTGCCCTTGTATTTTAAGATGTTTATATGTACTTAAAAAATTAAATTTAAAAGAATTACATTAATCTGTAGTAAAACATAAAATAAGTCACTTTGTGATGTAAATCTGAAACATTCCTGAGTTAACAATAAACATTTATATCCATCAATATTTTAAATTACTGCTAATAGGAAGTAACTCCAGGTCAGGTCAGGTTCAAAATCATTATACAACTGGTATCATGTAACTCAGTACTACCAACCCCATGCCCTGCTGCCTTAAAGAGTTTTATTATTTAGGCAGAAGGTGGTAGAAATAAACTCTGACTTTCCCTGCCTTGGGGTGTAAAGGCTAGAGATAGTGTCATGCCATAAATACTCATCTAGGGCAGATGTAAACTGCATCCTGCTACTGTCTTGTAGAAGGCCTCCTAAGCAAAGAATTTAGGGGTAATAAGAATAACTTTGATAAACAGCCTTGAGCCCTTTCTTCAACTCCTAATGAGGGTAAAGCTCTAAAACTCAGTTTAATAGTTATGAAGTTGGCTGATAGTAAGGTTTCCCAAACTCTGTGGTAGCTCTCAGAGAGGTTGATTCCATCAACAGCAGTAAAATATCAAACTTTTAACAACTCCATATTGTGCATGCGTGGTATCCCTGTTAATGTTTTTGCTGTGCATTGTTGAACAATTTACAACTTTAGGTTAATTAGTAGGACTGAGACAACTACCAAGCTCATTGCTTGGGATGCAGTGCTCTATCTATGAATGAGTGAAGTTCTCTTTAAACTTAAACCATATCCAAAGTAGTCAACAATATCAAACATAAAAAACCATCTCCACCACTTAACTGTATTAATATATATTTACAAGCATTCCTGGTTTTAGAAGCAACTTTCCATCAAAAGGTTTTTATTTCTAATTTGATTCTTAAATCTTATGGCCTTATTCTTCCTACCATTCCAGTTGTTATACATTCAAACCCATTGTTATACATTCAAATCATTCTAACTTCTGTTGATAAAGTCATATTTCAACTAAACTCCTCTATGCCTTGCGGCATAGAAGAGTTAAGTTGAAATATGACTCTCCTGCCTGCTGGAAAATGATATCTGTGGTTCCAGTTTTTAAAAACAATGCAGAACATTCTGACATCTCTAACTATCGTTCGATCAGTCTTCTCGATGTTATTAGCAAAGTTTTGGAGTCTTTGATCAAGTTTTTGAGATTTTCACATCATTTCTTTCTAACCACTTTATCAAAGTCACTCTTGAAGGCTAACACTATTCTTCATTCCCATTAACTTCTGGAATAGCTCAAGGTTTTATTATTGGTCCTATTTTTTGATTATCTGCATTAAGGATCTTCCTGACAATCTTACATCTAAAATGTTTCTTTTTGCTGGGTCAACTTTATACTCCTCTTTTGACAAAAAAAAATTTTTCTTGTTACTATAATGTTTTTATTAACATTATTATACTTTGTTTTTAGGGTTATGATCAATAAAAAGGTGTAGCTGTGTTCTTTTTGTGTTGCTATGTTAATTAACAGATAATTTTCAAAATGATGCTGCTAATAAGCTGCTTGTGCAACAGAGCGTGTCTCCATAGTTTTTCTGCACAAATTGATTGTTTGAACACTTTATCTTAACCTTTTGATCAAACCTTTTCCACCCTTCACCTGGAATTTTTTTTGTTTACTTTTTAATAGCCGATCATAAATCTGATCTCACTTGTGTGACAGGGGGTTTGCAGTAGCTTGTGATTTTTAACTCCAAAAAGACTCAGTTATTTATTGCCTCCAGCTTTTGCAACACTGCGAACATTCCTATATTAATGAATGGCAAGCCTCATTTTTAAGTCTTCTTGGATTATTGTTCACTACTGACTTCTCATGGAAAGGATATATACAATCGATTGCATTAGTTAAAGTTAGTATCTGCGAAGGTTAATTTTTTTTATTGTGCTTGTCATTACTCTAGACTTGATTTCATTCTCTACCTCTACAAATCTTTTCGTCCCAGTATGGAATACTGTTGTCATATTTAGGCTGGTTCTTCTAATGATGCTCTTTTTCTTTTAGACAAGGTCAAAAATGCATTATAAATGTATTTTGGATCTGCTTTATCTGCCAAGCTTGAGCACCTCTTCAATTGTTGTAAGTTGCATCTTTTTTTTTTTCTACAATTACTACCATGGTTGCTGCTCATCTCTAGTTTCATCAATCAAATTCATTCTTGCTTGAACTATCTTGGTATCTTTCCCTGCATGTTCTAAAACTTTTATTCATCTAGTTTCTTTCCTTCCACTTCAACCCTTTGGAACTCTCTCATCTTCATGTTTTTTTAGTATAATTATTCTAGTATAATGTTTCTCTAGTATAATTTCATTAACTTTGTATTTGTACTCATTGTTATTTTTTCCGAAATATTATTTTTTCTTATTTTACTTTATTTTCATTCTGATTCACTCCCAACAAGGCTGCAAGCAACCACTATTAATGAATTATTTTAAATGATTAGTAATTAAGTTTTAGTTTGAGTTTATATATTTCAGAAATTAAAAATGTATGCATACATTACATGTGTATATTTTGATGAGAAGGTGCAACACCATGCTGAATAAAAAGAAACTCGTGTATCCCATCATTCCTCTATATTGAGTTTCAATTTGTCAACACTATCTTTAAACGAGTTAACTGATTCAGTACTTATGACATCTGTAGGTAGCGCATTCCATTCATTGACAATGCAATTAGTGAAGAAATTAAATCTTTCATCACAGTTTTTTACATTTTGAGGTTCAAGTCTAAGGTAAATGCCAATGCAAATTGTATTTGGAAATCGATGGTGCGTAGACTTGAGGGTTCTCAAAAATGATTTGGTCAATACCTTTTGAAAATTTAAATTGTTGAATGAGATCACCTTTTTTAAGTGTGGTTAAGCGGAGATGACAGAGTCTATCTTTATATTGCAAGTGCTTCATTTCCGTTATTATTTTTATGGCTTTATGCTGCACTTGCTCTAGAACAGCAATGTCTCTTTCCTTGTGTGGTGACCAAACCTGGATAGCAAATTCTAATTGGGGTCTAATATAGGTTTTGTAGAGTACTTTCCACAAAAAGAGTCCATGACTTCTAAATATTTTCTTTAGTCTACCAAGCTTACTGTTGGCTCTTGCTGCTGCTGATTGGACTTGATAGCATACCTTAAGAACATCTGATAGAATTACTCCCAGATCATGTTTGTGCTTAGTGACATCCAGTTGAATTATGTTTCTACTCAAGTCAAGCATCAAATAATTTTGAACAGATTTGGAGTTACCACGCCCGACGTGCATAACTTTATATATTTATCAAAGTTGAGAGGCATATTCCATTTATGCAAGCCATCTACTAAGTTATCTATGTCAATTTGCAAGGTAGTTTTGTCCTTGCCAGATTTTAGAACTGCGATTATTTTGCAATCATGGGCATAAATCTTTATGTGATGAGTAATATAGTCTGGAAGATCTTTTATATATAATATAAAAAGAAGTGAACTGAGCACAGAGCCCTGGGTTACCCCGCTTGTTACATATTTCCATTTAGATTTGTGCATGCCGATTACAACTCTTTGATAACGGTTCGTTAGCCAGTTTTCTATCCAGTCTAAGACCAAACCATTTATACCATATACTTTAAGTTTGTGTAAAAGTCTGACATGTGGAACTTTATCAAAGGCTTTCGAAAAGTCAGTGAAGATGATATCAGTGGCGTAGCCTTGATGCATTGCTTCTGTTAATATATCCCTAGTCTCAAGTAAGTTCGATGTGCATCCTTTACTATGAAGAAATCTGTGCTGTTCTTTGGATATTAGGTTATTACTAAGACAGAGGTTTATAATTTTTTTGTGTATAATACCTTCTATAATTTTGCAGGGTACAGATGATAATGATACTGGCCTATTATTGGCTTGGTTCAGCTTGTTACCTTGTTTAAAAATTGGGGTGACATTTGATCTTTTCCAAAGCTCTGGAACCTGTAAATCGTAAATTGATTTTTGGTAGATCATAGCTTATGGAATTCCAAATGCTGAGGCACAGTTGCAAAATATTCCTGCGTGTATGTTGTCATATTCTTTCAACTTTGTTTCAATGAGTTTTTTTAGTCTTTCTTGGACTGAAGTTGTCGATAGGAGATTAAGGTCTATTGTGAAAGATACGTTTGTACATGATTCAAAAACTGGCTAATCTAATTTTTCAGTAGTGAATACAGAATGAAAGTAATTGTTTAGAATATCTGAGACTACTGCACCATCGGTTAAATGCTTTTATTGTCATCTTTGAGAGCTTGAAGTGAGTTATTTGTTTCTTCTTTTTGTTTAATATGATAATAAAGTTTCTTTGGTTCATTTTTGAAAACACTAGCTAACTGATGTTCGTATCTTTGAATAGCTTAATTTATTACCTTTGAAACATGTTTACAGGCTATTTTATGCTTACTTCTGAGTGCCTTGTGTGTTTTAGTTCCAGAAGTGACATATTGCCTCTAGAGATTACGTTTACAAAAAACCGCTTTTTTAACTTCTGGTGTGGTCCAAGGTACTTTTTTTCTTTTGAATGGAACAGAAGTCACTGGAATGTATTGTAGTTGGTAGTTTAAGTTTGCTGAGTGATTGGTAAAGTTTTTGTCCCAGTTGTAATCCATTATATATTCTGATATTTTTTGATATTTTGCTTTGCTCCAAATATAACGTGAATGAAAAGATGCTGGTACTTCAAAGTTCATAGTTTCGAAATGACCAGTGATTAGAAAATGAGCTTTGCCCTTAGGTGTGTCTCTAATTGGAACATCCTTTTTGAGGTCTCTAACTCGATTTGGTTTATTGGTAATGACAAGGTCAAAAATATTACCCAGTGCATTGTTTTTTGAGTTAGGATATGTTGGGAATGTTATCATTTGAGTTAAAAAATGTTCACCTAAACATTGTTGAAACTTGGTGTTGCTAGTCCATTCTTTGTTGACATGTGCTACAACTAGTGTACTGTCATCAACTACAAGTTCTTCCTATGTTGTGTGACTGAAATTAAAGTCACCGTATAAGAGCAAGGATGTGCAGCCTAGTTTCGAGAGATTGTATTTTGTGGCTTTGATTGAAGAAATTATTTTTGTGAGGGTATCATTGTTATTATCTTGAGGTCGATAGATACATCCTAGGAGGAGTTTTTCATTACCGAATTTAATAGTTCGCCAAAGTTGCTCAATGTTAGAGTCGTTTAGTTTTTTTATACTAGTTAACACAGCAGAAATAGTAGATTTAATATACATTGCAACACCCCCTCTTCGACTGCCTCTGTCTTTTCTGTGTAAATGGTATCCATCAATTGAGGTGTCAGATGTTTCATTGAACCACGTTTCAGCTATGAAGATAATATTTAGTTTTATTTCATTTTTGAGGGGGGTGTTGATTCTGGCTTTAAGCTCTAGTATTTTGTCCCTATTTAAAGAACAAGGGTTGTTAGCCCAAAAGTAGATGTGGTTGTGTTTGGATGTAGTTGCATTATTTAGTAATGGTTGTTGTGCGTATATTGCAGATTCGGGTTTTTATTTTAAATTGTTTAGGAGCTATACGCCTCTTTACTTGAGCCGTATTTGTAGCTAGTGAATGGATTGGTACTATTATCATTAGCAGAGGTAGTGTCATTAAAGCTTGTGGGGTTATATGTTGTGTTATTACAGAAGGTCCACTAAATACTTTCAGCTAGTTCCTTACTGATCCATTGACATCTCGAATTCCATTTTGATTCATTTGTGTCAATGCAGCGTACGGTACCTGTGCAGCGGTGGATGATATAGCAAAAGACCTGGTTTGGCAGAGTCTTTTCCAATTTATCATTTTTGTATTTTTTTTTTGTATTTAGTTTAATGAATGCCTCTTGTTCTGCTGCAGTGCGGTTTTCTCTTATGTAAACTCCTTTGAAAAGGTCCTGGCCGTGAGTTTCAGAGCGTCCTTTTTTCAGAGCGTCCTGCTGGAGCTCTTGATTTTTAAAGACTACTTGATTAACACCAATTGATTTATTCTTGGTTTGATTTCCAATGTTTCTGTTTTTACTATTTTGGTAACATCGAATGTGTACAACTTCGCTATCATTCACACCTATGGCGTTGAAAAACTTGCGAAAAGTTTACGTTCCGAATTTAATGAGGAATCATCAAATCCAGCAATGACTACATTTATTTCTCTTTCGTTTCTGGTTTTTATTTCATTAGCGGCTAGGTTAAGAATATTGTTTCTCTCAGACTTGTTTTTTGATTTTTCATTTATATCATCTATGGTGAAGCGTATTTTTTCTTTATTTTGAGTATGATTTTGAGTAAAGGAATTTTATTTTACTGAATTGGAAACAATAGAATTTTCAATAGATTTTCGAAGTAATGAGTTAGTTGCACTGTTTAGAGACAGCTGTTGTTGATTTTTTAAAATATCAATATTTTTTATATGTTGATTTTTAAAAATACCGATATTTATTTTAATAACAATTAAAATGATTATTTAAATGATTAAAAAATAAAATGAATTATTTTGAACTTTTTTGTTCATTGAATTTTATCTGCCAGTTTTCTGTCCAGTACTCTGCCAGTCTTCTGTCCATTCTTTTAAAATATTATTATTGTTTTGTAAACTAATATTACTGTCAGCAAATAGTTTGTCTTCATTTTTGATTCTAATTAACAAATCATTTATAAATATCATGAAAAATAGTGGACTTGAAACTGAGCTTTGAGGGATTCCACTATCTATTTTATCCTATTCTGACGCATATTCTCCAACTATTACTCTTTAAAATATTTTGCTTAGAAAAATTTTACACCACAATAATAGTTTGTTTTTTAATCCTAATTGAGCTAATTGAGCTTTACTATTAGTAAATCTCAATTAGCTAAATTAGGATTAAAAAACAAACTATTAACCTTAACAATAATGAAAAATAGTGGACTTGAAACTGAGCTTTGAGGGATTCCACTATCTATTTTATCCTATTCTATATTAATCCTAATTGAGCTAATTGAGCTTTACTAATAACCTTAACAATAAAACAATTGCAAAATCTTATAACAACTCATCTAACCATGTGCAAATACGTTTGTGATAAAATCAATTGTTTTAAGCAAATTAGCAGTGCAGTTTTTTTTATTAACAAATCCATTTTATTGTTTTATTATCAATTTCAATCAATGTTTTATTATCTCACCTCATATAACACATTCCATTAATTCACATACAACAGAAATTAGTGAAATCAGGCAAGAACTAGATGGTTCAAGTTTGCTTCTTTTTTTAATTAAGGGGTACAAAGTTTGCCTTTTTCAAAAAGGTCTGGAACATCACTTAGTTCATAAAACTTAAATGTGATTGAATAATATTGATAAAGTTTTGAAGAGTGATTTAGAACAAATGTTGAGAGCTTTAAGATAAACGTTGTCGACTATAATGATTTTTTGTACGTCAAGTTTGTCGATATTGAGTTTAACAACTCCTTCTGTAAAGCTTCCATTTGAGCATTCATTTATTAAATAATAGTTATTGATAAATTTAATTATTAGCAATAACTAAATTTATCAATAACTTTTGGGAGGTTTGTTGAATCCTCCTTTGTTAAAATTGAAACAAAATAAATATTTTAATAATAATTTTACTTATATAATTAAATAGCGATTAAATTTTTAATTTAATCGCTATTTAATTATATAAGTAAAATTACTCTCCATTCCTAATTTTACTTGAAATGTTGGATAAATAATATTTTGAAACAAAAAGGAATCACTTAGAAAATCCATAATATCTTTCGGCTGATCGCATTGAAGTAAATTGTAATTTTTATACCAGTTTATTAACACATAACTAAAACCTCCTTATTGTCAATTCCCAAGTACTTTTTTTTTTGATACAACTTGTTTAACTGAGAATTTTTCATTTTACTACATGAACCTAGATGACAGATACACCCACAAATAGTCTTTTCTGAGCCAATTTCATGTATACAACACAAGTTAATAATTTCTGGAAGAATTTGAAGAAAATTTGATGGATTATTTTGAGCAAATTATGCATACTATTGGTTGAGTCTTTTCCTAAACATGCCAGAACATGTTATAGAACTAAAAAAGGCATAATTAAATAGAACTAAAAAAGGCATAACTAAACATTACTAAAAAAGGCATAATTTAATAGAACTAAAGAAGGCGTAATTAAATAGAACTAAAGAAGGCATAATTAAATAGAACTAAAGAAGGCATAATTAAATAGTGACATTTGTGTCTCAATTGAAGCTAAATTACTAAAAATGTCAAAATATAATCATTTTATAAAAAAACTTAAAAAATTCTAAAAGAATATTATAAATTCTTTACAATAACAATATATTTTTTTAATATTATTAGTAAAAATGCTCTCTTTTAATTTTTTGTTAAAAGTTGAAATTTTTATGCAAAAAAATCTGAAATAATAATTCTTCTATTAAACAAAGATTATCATTATTATTTTTTAGTAAATTTCACTTCATTTGAGACGCAACACAACATACTTTTATGAAAATATTTTTCTATAATATTAAAGAACCGCTTCATGTTTGAGAGCCTGTAGAAACCTCCGAAAATATTTTATAATCAAATTATGTATGTACTATATTAGGTGGATGGTCAGAATGACCATACATAAGTTGGTTATTAGATTTACAATATGATTGATTATCAGGTTTAATGTTACATCAAGATAATTGACAATTTTAATATTACATTAGATGGAGATAAGTAGGTTGTTATTTTAAAAATATGCGTACATAGATTGTTACTTTTAAAAATATGCTTTTTGATTTCTTTCATTTATTGGCTACTTTTGTTTTCAAAAATAGCAAGCTCGTGTCACAATACAAATTAAAACCATTTTTATCAAAATGCTGAGAGAGAGAGCAGAAACAATGTAATAAAAGAAATCCCTTGCGCTATTGAGTTAAGATTATTGGCTATGGCAGTAAATTAAACTATGTTTAATAATTCCAAATGAAGAGGCTTTACATAAATCAGGATACAATTTGAAACTCACCTACTAACTACAAATAAACAAAAATAAAAAAAACATTACAAATGTTAAATTATATAATACAACCCCCCGTTTAGCAAAAGTGTTGAAACAAAATTTGAAAATCGCTTCTTAGCTTTAATTAACTTATACTTTCCAGTAGAACACAGGGTAGCTATAGCACATAACAACAAGATTTTACAACGCGATGAAAATCTAACATCATAACAATGCAACTGCAAAGAAAAAAAAATTTGTCCATTAAATAACTAATGTCTTCCTAACAATATCTCAAGCCACTCTAAATTTTAGAAATCTGAATTCAAAGACAAAGTTTATTTCGGTATAAGTGAAACCGCATTTAAATTAAGATATACCAACCATCTTAAATCTTTCAATGCACCCAAATATAAAAATGACACTGAACTTTCAAAAAAAAATATGGTAACTAAATTCTAAAAATGCGAAACCTGTGATTACATGGAATATAATAGCATATACATATTTAATTATTTATAAAAAGATGATATATATACATATTTAATTATTTATAAAAAGATGATATATATAAACATATTTACCTCTTTCAAAAAATAACATTTATTTCTACTCTCCATGTATTGTGTGGTATTTCTTAGACAATTCTCAAGACAATATAAGTAAAAATCATTGTACGAAAAACAACTAAAGAGTTAGAGATCAGGTATTCTTAAATAATACATCAATTAATTAATAAATAAAAACAAGTCACACTTTAAAAATCAAAGTCACTATTTGTATCTTTAAAAAGACCTATACTTTTTTACGAACTCGAAAAGTTTATTTTATAAAATATGTAAAAAAATACTATTAATAATAATAATACTGGTTAACCATGATAGAGAAAATTGCAACTTTCATAAAAACCTTTCCAACACCAAACCTCAAACCAAACTGTTTAAGAATATTTAGTGATGTAGTTGTTAAAACTTGTGCTGTAGTTCTCTCTTCACTCTTATTTTCTCCTTCATTTAAATCCTGTCTAAATAAAAAAAGTTAGTGACTTTACAAGTGACTAAGCAATAAAAAAAAAAATTTTTAGTCATAAAATAATCCATACAATATTTTAATTAAAAATACATTTAAAGTTTGTTTAAAACAAACTTAATTATTTTTAGTTCCCTCCTTGCTCTTTAGCAAAAAAAATAAAAAATTAAAAGCTCCACACATAATTCTTTTGTTACTTATTTTGTTATGTTTTTTTAAATTATAAATGTTTTTTTATACTTTTATAATAAAACTTATATCTAAATAATAATAATGTAAGAAACTTAAACAACTGATGTCAAATTGAACGATGGTAGCCAGAAGATTAAACTCAAAAAATGCAGCAAAATTTATACCATGAAATATAAAATAAATCAGTGCACAGTGGGCAAGTGATCGGCATAAATGCCAAAAATGAGTATTTGTGGAAACTTATTTCTTTTTGCAAAACTTTAAAAGTAAAAACCCCACAATAAAAAAGTCTTTTATTTAAACATTTTCATTTTTGTTTTAAGAGTCCTGGGAAAGTTTTCAAGCTCGTCCATTTAAAAAACGTTTTTTTTTAAAAAAAAAAAAAGATAAAATACTCATAAATTTGACTCATAAGCGCAGTTTTCTTTAACTTAATTAAAGTTTTATAGTCTCAATATCAGGGTACATGTTTTATTTTAGAAAACTTAACAAATAAAAATATTATTGTATTTTATAACTTTTTTCTTAACTTTAAATACGACAGTTAAAGTATTAAAAAGTTACCATAAAGGGCTCAAGATCTTTTTTCGCACATGTTTCCCCACTATGGGTATAACTTTTTTACAGTGTTTTAATATTGTAGAAGGCTTCTCATTAAAAATATCTGCACAATTTAAAGTTTAGCAGATTTTAAAACATAGGAATTGTTTGTTATTTTCAATTGTTCAAAGCACATTGTTGTTAAGTATGAACTCTAAATAATTAATTGCAATTACGAAAACTAAAAGAGACAATAAAATTTAATGTTATTCCATTTTATTTAGTAATGTAGTTTTTTTATTTACAAACTTATTTCAATTAATTATCAATTATGTTTTTAAATATAGAAAGTACAAATACTACTTAAAAACTTTAAAAAACTATAATTATATTCTTAAATCAAAATTTTCTTCTATCAATCATTATGAAAAATAAAAAAATTACTATAAAACTGTTTCATGCTTTGGAAAAGAACTTAATCAAATCAGTTTGATTAAGTTGTTTTGGTTACTAAGTTTCAGGGATCTCTGACAAATACTTCAAATCTCTGACTTCAAATTATTTTCTAAACAATTTAACAAAAAATGGAATAAAGTAAACAGACATAAGGTTAGATTTGAGTTGCATTACAAAATCTGGTTAGAAAAAGAATTAAAAATAAGCGATGCATGTTTTGAAACAGATAAACTACGCAAGGGCCAAAACTTGGGATTGTGTATTCTTACTCCTTATGTATGATGTACTCCTTATGTATGATTAAGTATGATATTTCATAAAAATTAAATTAACAGACTCATGATGTTTTTTACTATTTAATTGTGTTTAAGCAAGTGTTTATACTAAACACAGTCATCTGATATTTTAACTTAAATTGGTTGTCTACCGAAAACCACTAGGTGCGAATTCCAGACCATTCACCCAAACTTCTGAAAAAAAAGAAGGAAGAGGAGAGCAGAAAAAACAAACCGAAAGAGACCTAGAGACGAAAGAGACTGCCGAAAGAGAGGAACCGTTTTACTCAATGATTTTGAAACTAAAAAAGAAAAAAAAGAATCAGCGATACTAAGATACATTAACATTTATATTATAGTCATTTTTAATTCATCTTGTTTATTAAAAAATAAATCTCCAAAATACTAGGGGTGATAAATTTTTTTAGTAGATTGTATTCATCTCACTCTTCAAATTTACATTTTTACACTTCAGGTTGTGAAGCAAATATAAAAATCAGAGAAAGATGGTGCAGTTAATTTAACAACAATGTACTCATATCTTGTTGTGGAATATAAACTACTGATTATTCAGCATCAATTGATTTACAGAGCATAGCACATACAGGTTGTTAAAAATACTCAATGAATCTGTAAAGGCTTCTGAGAAATCCATTCTTGTCTTTATACACAAATTAGAATTTGATGGTTCAACCAGTCAATCATTATACAAACAAAGTACAAAAGAGGAGATAACCATCAGTTATGTTGAGGGAAAATCATTATTTTTATCCTACATTGTTCAAATTAAAATTTATATAAAAGAATCTGGCAAATTACTGTGGAATAATGAAAAATTATTGTCTACACTTTACTGCTGTCCAATACAATTTCAATATGTGAAAGAGTGCTTAGGTTTGAGGTGCTTTAAAAAACTTGAACTTGACAAATTTTGAATTAAACTTTTTTTATTTATTTTTTATTTATTTTTGTTTTGTACTCTGATTTAAGTTTTGTATTTTTTACTTTTTTTTTTTTGATTTCTGATTTCTAATAAATAAATGTTGTTTTTTTTTATAAAAAGGGGTCTAACACATAACAAATACTTTAATTAATACTTCAAATCTGATAAAAACTGTTTCTAATGACAATCAAAAGTTATGTCTAAAATCACTAACCCCCCTACCACCATTTTCTACTTACATCTGCAAAAAAAAACAATTATTTTTTTAAAAAAGATCTTTAAGATGACTAGAGTTGAGAGAGGGTTGTAACCACAAAAGCCTCCTCAACTGTAGTGGCCTTCTCGGCCTTAAGGAGATAAATAACTAAAAAAAAAAAAAAGGTTTGACTAAAAATAAAGAATTAATCAATTGGGAGTTGTAAGTTTCACTACCGGTCAATATCAAAATTAGGTTTTTCCAGTTTTTTGAAGTTTTTCTCACTTTAATAATACTTTATTAAAACTTATAAATGTTTTAAAGAATTTGTTGGTCACTAATATTTTATTTCACATTTTTTTTATTTAAACACTTTGGAGTTAAATACAACAAAATTAGTAACCACCTTAGAGGTCATGATGATTTTGAAATTGATTGCAACTCAAAATTACTCATTATATACTGTTTATATTTTATATATTTTATATTGAGATATTCATTATATACTGTTGAGATATTCATATTTAAGAAGATAAAGAACATTTCAATTCAAAAGTTACTTTAAAGAACAAAACCACTTTTTCAAAGTACAAATTGCCTTTATTAAAAAGTAAAATATGTATTTCATAATTTTCAAGAGCTGCAAGACACAAGTGGAACACACTGTATCATGTATAATACCTTATATGTGGGCTGCAACAACCTCTTTATGTTATTTACCAATCTCTACTTGAAAATAAAATTGTATTTTAATAGTTATATATTTTATCTATTCTCCGCGCATTTTATTATTTTTATATATGTTTTTAGGCCACTTCAAAACAATTTAAGACAAATTAACAGACAGCTTCATACATCAAATATTTTCATAATGAAGCATTTATGAATACACATGAAGTTACCTTTTGATCTTACATTTGTCAATTTGTAAACTATAGTGCAACCTAAATTCAAAACAAACCTGGCTGTGATATCAGTTTTCTTTATGAGCGTAAGGTTACATAATAGCCTAAGAGCCTGGAATTACAACCACATCTTTACTAAAGGTTGAAAATCAAAGTAACAACATTTCTATATTTGTCTATTCCCTCTAAAGTCATGTTAACAAGGTTTTACTACTTAATACTATTCTTGTAGGATTGAGATGATCGATACTAGGAAGATTACCATTCAGCATTTACAATTAATGCATACACTTACCACACACAATTACAATGCATATACTTACCAAACACTTAACCACACTAAAGTGGGCATTTCAGAGTTTTCAATTTCCTAGGCGATTTGTTAGAAAGTAGGCGTGATTGCACCTAATTTCTGATCACGCATATAATATTTAATTATGACAACTTTTGCAGCAATTTATATATGTTTCCAAACAATTTATGTATGTTTCCATGTATGCTCAGAAAATTAAGTTTCAACACGCTAAAAGAATTAACATTGTAACATTAATTTTTTGTAACCTAATGTTTTTATATTAGCAAAATGCTTTTAAACAAAGCAACAATTTGCTTCTATTGATTTTTTATTTTAAGAAAATTTTATATAAAAAAAATATATAATAATTTATAAAAATTTGAGCAAGTTTTATTAAAAATTATATTAAGTTTAGTAAATTATACAAAAATAAATAATAAGATAAATTTTGTATTATTTAAATTTAAAAAAAATATGCAAAGCATGAAATGGTTATAAAAAATATTTGAGGAATAAGTACTGTTTTGCAGGTATTAATCTATTTGCAGGTTCTAAAATTTACGAATATACTAAAGTTCATCACATTTTTCTCAAAAAATTGCAAGTTTAGTGATATTGTAAATAAATACTTTGTGAAAATAGTTAAAAAGATACTTAGAATGATTGAGGTCACAGAGTATAAGAAATGTATAACATCTCGAGTGAAAAAGTTGATAGTGAGGTAGGTTCAAATAGAAATTAGCGTCATAAGACAGTACAGCTTTATAGAGCCAGTAAGTCAGCTATATATATATATATATAAATATATATAAATATATATATATATATATATATATATATATATATATATATATATATATATATATATATATATATATATATAGTATCAATAAAGTTACAGTGCAGAGAGTATTGATGGAAGTCAATCTGAGCATGCTGAACAGCAGATTGACATATCGAAGAAATTCTAGCAAACAAGTCCGGCTGGATAATACTTCTACATCATCATCATTACTCTGGCAATGTATCGATGAAATTGTTCAGTCTATGTCTACTGGTAGCACAGCCCATAAACAGCAATTACCAACAGACATTGACACTCAACTAAGCCAGTATCTGGCAGAACCAATATACAAACTGATCCACTACAGTGGTGGAGTGATACCATGCAACAATTACCAGCAACAAGTAACAGTTGCTCACATTTATTTTGGCGCCCCACCGACAAGTGTACCATCAGAAAATTTGTTCAGTGTTGCTGGGTAGGTTCCAAATGATCATTGTAGTTCAATCCTGACACATGATGCAGCTCGCTTAATATTTCAAAACAATTTAAAACTGATCAAAAACATTTTAGAAAAATAACTGAAACTGAAGTTATTTTACTTCACTTTCAGATTGAAAGTCTCAATCCCTTATCAATTATTTTGCTATGTTATGTTATGATATGAGAAATTGAGTCCTTTTATTTTAATAACAACAATGAAGTTTAACAGAAAACAGTTGTCACTTGGTGTTGTGAATGATCAACATTGTTGATCATTCTCAATACCAAGTTAGGATGTACAGGATTTTGACTTCTGTAATTTTGTTTCAAAACCCAGCTCCGGCTGGATTTGTCAGTAGAAATCCGGCAAATCCAACTCTAGCCAGATTTAGAAAAATTAAATCTGGTACAGCGCTAACCACAACATCTAAAGAAAGGTACATAAATCATCCAGGTCATCTTTTAAATATCCGGCAAATCGTTTGGGTAAAATATCCGGAAAAAATCCGGTAAATATTTTCCTATTAATTTTTCTTTTAGCTAAGTTGTTTCTATATTTATTTTTCAAACTTTTCTTTATTTTCTTATAAGTGATGAGTAAAAAAGCTTAAAAAACAAATATATCACAAAAATTATACCTAAACTTGTATGTATAGAAAATGTTTTGGATATCCGGAAAAGCCTCATGAATGGATATACCATCAGGATAACAACCCCAAACACACAGGTAAATTGGTTCAAGAAATCTTCAAGAAGAGTAAAGTTTGTGTTTTGAAGTGACTATCAACTGACTTAGTTAAAAATAATCAACTAACTGAGATTAAATGCTGTTGATCATTTATGTAATTTGTTCACTGTTAAATATTTGGCATCAGGCATACAAATCATACAAATTTATTCAGTAAAATCAAAGAAAGAATGCACTTAATTCCCATTGATGTTTTTATTAATTTAGTCAACTTTAAACCTTGTAGGTGTTAAACCACTCTTTATTGTAAAAATAGTCCTAAAAACAGTAAAGTTAATAGTAATTTAGTTTTGCAATTCTAATAAAATTTAATTAAACATTATTAAAAAGGTCTTGAATTTGTCTTTAAATTTTTGAACTCACTAAAAATCATCATTTTTTAATATATTAAAATACAATGATTAAATAATCAATATTTGTTTAAAATATAATAGTAAACAGAATCTTATAAATATATATATATATATATATATATATATATATATATATATATATATATATATATATATATATATATATATATATATATATATATATATATATTAAATTGGTTATAAATACAACACTGTAACAAAATGTTACAACAAATATCCAAAAATTTTTGAACCCTACTTATATATATATATATTTATATATATATATATATATATATATATACATACATACATACATACATACATACATACATACATACATACATACATACATACATACATACATACATACATACATACATACATACATACATACATATATATATATATATATATATATATATATATATATATGTGAATATATATATATATATACATATGAATATATATATATATATATACACAGATATATATTCGTTATAAAGTACAACCCTGTAACAGAACATTACAATAAGCATCCGCAAACTTTTATATTTATATATATATATATATATATATATATATATATATATATATATATATATATATATATATATATATATATATATATATATATATGTATATATATATATATATATATATATATATATATATATATATATATATATATATATATATATATATATATATATATATATATGTATATATATATATATATATATATATATATATATATATATATATATATATATATATATATATATATATACATATATAACAAAATGTTATTTTTTAAATATTAATTTTTAAATTTTATATTTGGTACTTTTTTTAATATATTAAAGCCAATGCTTAATACAATATTTCAAACATTACTCAATCTTGATGAAATAAGAAAATTGCTATTTTTTACTTACTTTAAAAGATTTTTAATCAATATTTCAAATTGATCATGATAATTTGTAGTATCTACATTTTTGTCTTTTGATGGTGAACACACTAGATTGTTGCTTATTATTCTATCAAACCGGTTAAGCTGTAATTGTTTCCAATTGTTATAATAAGGGTCATCATGATTGTAAAACACACTTAGATTGGATATTAAAACTTTTTTCTGATTATCAATATCATCGGCAAGTATCTAAAAATAAAGTAAAAAAAATATATACACATTGAAAAATAACTTTAAACATAACTGACCTGTGATTTTGTTTATTAAACTATTTTTTATCAAAAAATTTACCTGTAATTCAGAACATTCTGAAAATGAATTGCTCAATTCCGTTTCTATTAAATCCTTAAGATAATGATTACATTGAAAAGCTTTTTGAAGTTTCCCTGCAATCATGCATCGATCAATACTTGTGAAATCAATACAATATGAATCATTTCTAAAATAAAATGTATTATGTACTACAACTGCAACTACAACTGAATGCTGCTACTACTACAACAACAACAACTACTACTTCTATTACTGGTTTATTTTGCAAATTTGGTTTATTGTCTTTTCGCGTAATAAACACTGGTGAACCAGGTTCAATTCTAGCATTTAACTTAATTATTATAGCAATGTTTTGACCTTTTAATTTAATTGAATTTTTCTAAGTTTTTAGTAAATTTTGCATAACTATTAGAAATGCTATTGTTCAGAATTTTATGAAGATTATCTGGGGAAA